ACTACCTGCCTGATGGTGTCATGACTGTCTATTTTATCATTTTTTTATGATAAAGGTCACTGCATTATTAGAACCAAGTAATTGGATATATCAAACTTTCATTATTTTGCTAATACCCTCTTTCACTCTATGTATATGTGTGTATGTGTACATGGGGGGGAAATGATTCTCTCAAACAGTGTATGAGGCATTGTTCCTGTACATGTATTAACAGGACAACGCCATTTACAGTAAATGACAACTATTGGCCCAGAATCAATATGAATTCACACCACTATGAACTCCTGACCAACCCCCTGTTATTCTGCATAGTTACTGGACATGAGCTAAAAATAGTTTAACAGAATGCAAATGTAATCTGCAGGAGTGAAACTTCAAGAGAATAAAACGAGTTCCTGATTCATAACATTTATAGCATTTAATTCTCAGCCAACCTCTGAAACGCTTAACAACCATTTAGCAGAACCGTAAACAAATAAGGTTCCTGATACATTTAACCTTATCTCATAAACCTTGGAAATGAAAGGTCACGATCTCAACATCACAAGGTTTCATTGTAGACCCAGCTCAGGGAGAGCCAGCACAAACATACTGAGATTACTGCGACCCAAACTGACAGGATAGATGATTAAAGTGGGTAAGAATCTCTGAGCAGCAGAGCAAAGCAATTCCTAAAACTGTACCAATCTCAAGTAATTGCTCCTCAGTTTTACCAGACTGGCTTCTGGTTTTATTAAGCTTTATAATGTGTGTTAGATAACCAGTCTGGCTTTTATTCTTGTACTGTGTATGGTTCTGCATTCCAAACAGCAAGGATCCTACAAAGAGAGCTTGATAAGAGTGCACACATCGGCTGACAACTGGCAAATGAAGTTTAATTCAGATAAATGCAAGATACTACATATAGGATCTGAGAAGGAAACAAAATTACTCCATGAATGGGATACAACTTGCCAAGGGGGATGCTGAATGAGATCTAAGGATGTTAGTTGACTCATTGCTCACAAGGTCAAAATAGTTTGAGGCAGCAATAAACAAGGCAGACATGATTCTGGACTATATTCTTAAATCAGTTGAGTTTAAATCTCCAGACATCATACTCAGGCTGTACAGTGCTCTAGTCAGGCCGCTTCTTGAATACTGCATACAGTTCTGATCCATGCAACACAAGACAGCTGCCCTGGCCCCAGAGGCAGTACAGAGGAGAGCAAAGAGGAAGATCCCCAATATTAGAGGAATGAGCTATGAGTAACAATTAGACAAGCTGGGCTCTTCAGGCTTAAGAGAAGACAACTTAGATGGGATCTTATAAAGGTGTACAAGATTTTAAATGGGATTAAAAAAGTAAATCCAAATCAATGCTTTTGGGTGTATCAAGGCAGTAGAACAAGAGAACATAGGTTTTATGTTGTAATTTCAAACAGACACCAAGGAGTTTTTCTTTATGCAGATGGTAATTAATGACTGGAACAGGTTGCCAGGAAAGGTGGGAGAGGCCAAGACACTGAACTCATTTAAAAACATGGTGATGGGGAAATCGTAGAGTGGATGTTTGGAGCGATGAGATTGGTTGGGCTGAAGGGCTTTTACATCCAGACCAATCTTGTAATTTTGTGATACATCGGGAAGAAAGGCATAGAGGGGTACACACGTGAGGGGAATAGGTGGTGTAGTGGCTTATGTAGGATGTAAATACTAGTATGGACTAGTTGGGCCTGTTTCCATGCTGTATTGCTCTATGTAACTATGTAATACCGTAATTCGAAAATCTCAAACAGACACCAGACTCTTTCATCCTCTCTTTTTCACCCATCCTTGCTTTACTTCCTCCCCCTCCTTCTACCTCAACTGTTCTTTCTCCCTTCTTCACTCCTTTTCCTTCTCATTTTCTCCAACTCTTTCCTTCTACTATCTCTCACTCTCGCTGCTTAGAAGTTCAGGACCACCGAAGTTAACTGCAGTTAAATTCCCTACAGACTTCACTCATGCAGATAGTTAACTTAATGCAAATATTGAATAAAATGGACAAATAGAGGTGAATAAAAATAGATGTTAGACACTCGTTACATTGGTCAGTGGTCCTCTAACTCTCCTTGAGGTAACAGAGGCAACTGATATGTTTGAAACCAAACCCAGTGGAAGCAAAAACAAGTCAAATGTAATCAGGGGAAGAGGAAAGGTAAGCTCTTTGAACATGTGCATTTTGAATGAGCTCAAAAGTTGTCGCAGAATGTCTATCGAAGTACTGAGACATTAAATGTCTGTGATATTAAATATTTTTAAAAATATCAAAATATCCTCAATGAATTTGACTTTATTTTGGTGAGGGAGGGGACTGGCACCCATGCTGGTGGAGAAACACACTCCCATCTGAATTGTGTTCTTTAAGGGCCTCTGGAGATAGCTGTGTGAAGCATTTTGAGACATCCTTCTGACAGCAAAGGTGCTATATAAATGTAAATTGTTGGTGCTGTTGCTTATGATCTGGTAACAGGGCCCAGAGTAGGATAATTAGGCTGCGGTACTGCATTCAATGCAAGCAGAGTGTGAGAAGGTGATATTTATTGAGAAAAGAACCTCTGAGACAGACGTAGCAAAGCTCTGGGGAGAGGTTGAATTGAAATACCACTCACTGTTCAAGCTAACAGCATTGCAGTGACACGTTAAACTGAAGAATAAAAATGTTTTTTAAGAAATTGTATTCTGTGTCATCTGACAAACAGTAAGAGGAGTTTTCCTTTCCTTTCTTCCAATTATCTAATGACGTCCTCCCAGAGTGAAAGGTGCTATGTAAATGCAATTTGTTATGTGTTGATATAGAATTACATAGATAGTTCCACATTCTCTCCAAGTAAAGAAGCTCTCCTGTACTCTCTTTTAGGAGCTGGTTATCTTTTGTCTATGCCTTCTCATTATGGACTCACCAACAAGTGAAAGCAGCCTATTCATGTCCACCTTATTGAATCCTTCGTGGAGTTCTGTAGCTCAGTGGTTAGAGCACTCGCTTTGCAAGCGAGAGACCTGAGTTCAATTCCAGGCAGGGCGAAACCTTGGGCAAGTTTCCTTACTCCACACGCCTAATAATAATCCCTCCAAAACCAAAAACAATAATAAATTGGTCATTTTCAATCTACGACTGTTTGTGGGACATTGCTGTGCGCAATTGGTTGCCGCGTTCGCCCATAAATATACAGTCAATTCACTTTACAGTGTGTTCTGTGAAGCGCTTTGGGACGTCCTCCCGACGTGAAAAGTGCTATATCAAATGCAAGGATTATTATTATAATGTTAAGGTGTTCCTCAGGGCTCTGTCATTGGTCCTCTCCTCTATCTATGTGCTCTCTCTTGGTGACATCATCTGCAGACATGGGGTCAACTTCCACATTTATACGGATGACACCCAACTCTACCTCTGTGCCACCACCCTCGACTCTAGGACCACTGCTGTCCTGACAGAATATCTGTCAGACATCAAGTCCTGGATAAGAGCTACCTTGCTTCAGTTGAACGTCAACAAGACTAAGGCTCTCCTGATTACCTCTACACCTCATGTGCTGACAGCATCACCATCCATGGATGCACAGTCCACCTTACTGAGCCAGTCCAGAACTTCGACTCTCAACTATCCTTTCTACCCCACATCTGTGCCATGACCTGCTCTGCCTTCCCCCACTTCCGCAACATCGCCTGGCTCCGCCACTGTCTCACCCCTCAGGCTGTCGAGACTACCATCCATGCATTTGTTACATCTCGGCTCAACTATGCCAACTCCCTGATTGATTGCGTTCACAACATGATAAGGTGCTATATCAAATGTAAGGATTATTATAATTATTCATTATTATAATTATTCATTATTATTAATATTATCATCATTATTATCCCCAGTAACATAATAATGATAATTATTATAATTATTATTCACATACCAGTAGATGTACACTGTACTCTTTCCATCGCTACAATATCCTCCCTGTAGTATGGCAAACAGAACTGCACACAGTACTCTAAATGTGCTCTAACATTTTATATAAATTTAACATTAATATACTTTTATGCTCTATAATCTATACAGCGCACTGCAATTTAACTATCCTATGTGAAGGGCTCTATATAAATGCAAGTTGTTGTTATATTCCGCTGGACATCAAATTGAAAAAAAACATTCAGATCAATATATAAGACTAAAATGGTATTGGCTCTATCCTGATTACAAAAGCAAAATGTTTGCAAATGTTCGAGTAATGTTAGCAATTTCCCCTCGAACAACAGCTAGAATTAATTAGATGTGAATAATACTATAATGAAGAGGCACACAGTCTGCCTTAGCAGAAACTGGGAAGATATCAAGCAGGCAATGTACAGATGGTAACATCCTCCTTATCTCACTCGCATCACGTACTGTGTTAATGCTGCATTAAATTCTGCAGAATTAAGCTACACAATTTACTGTGCGACAGCACACACATCAGCAATTTGTAATTGTTGAACTATTCTGGGTTGTGCATTACTACAACAGTAACTAATTGTCTGATGATGCTGAGCTAGGGAGAGAGGAGCAGTAACCGAAGGCATAGTGAAAGAGGAATGTTTTCAGGTCTGATCTGAAGACCAAGAAGGAGGGGCAAAGCGGAGGATTGAAAGGCTAGAGGTATAATCTGGCACAGCACTGAGCCACATAGAGCTATATAGCCTGGAAGGTCATGTTTTCTGTTTTAGACCGTCTTGATGGCATTCATTAACAATGTGATAATTGGCAATACACCACCCAGCAAAGTCCATTATGGGTAACAATTTTTACCTCAGCATAGACTGGACAGGCTGAAGCGTAAGAAAATCTTAATAATACTAAAACTGAAAAAAGACCTAAAAATTGGGGAATTGTCCAAGTGCTTGCCATATACCCAAGGTTATATTGTTTTGAAACTGACTCACAGCGTAGCCATCTTCAGGTTAACACGCTGCAATCCACCTGAACAGTCACTGCTGCCTAGACTCACCGCATCAAAGCTGCAGTTGATGGGCTCACTGCAAAACGTTTTCAGGGACCACAAAAAGTTAAGAGTTGGCCTATAGGTCTCCTTCCAGCAGCTGATTAACAGGCGGACTTTCACGTTCCGTAAAAACAGGGCTTCCCGCAGCCCGTTGTCCAGCAGAGGCCAGTACCTGCAAAGCAACACAACCATCAGATTCTTGGAAAAATCATGTGAAAATCTTTTATTTTATTATTATAATAATTTATATAACGTCTTTCACTTCCAAATAAACAGCTCAAAGCGCTTTACAAGTGCTTGGGGAGCAATGCATTGTTGGAGGTGCTGTCCTTTGGATGAGATGTTAATCTGAGGTCACATTAAAAGTCACAGAGCACTATTGGGAAAGAGAAGGGAGTTTCTCCCAGTGTCCTGGCCAACAAAATAAAAATTGGTCATTTGTGGCTATTTGTGGAACACTACTGTGTACAAACTGGCTGCCAAATTTGCCTACAAATACACAGACAAAGCATTTCACTATATATCCTGTGAAGTGTTTCGGGACGTAATGAAATAGCAACAGCAGTTTGGTCTCTTTACAGCCACTTGAATCTCAAGGCAAACAGAACATAAATTAACAACGCGATCAAAGGTAGAATTAGTATCCATCAACAGTCTCAGCTTTCACTTGGAAGCTGGCAAGGAGCATCATCACATACTTCATTCAAGATACCCAAGGAAAGACAAATTAAACATGACCAAAAAGTATCTGATAATTATTCAATATACAAAGTGTTGGGTGCACTAGATTCCGGCTATGAATGACGCTGTTTATTATAGACTGATTAATTAGAAAATAAACTGTAACACACGCCAAGCAGGAATGCAAGTCAAAGCGTTCATTGCATCAAACTGGCAGGCAGGGAGTGAGTGAGGTCACCCAAGGCAGTTGAGAGAGAAAGAATTAATCTTCCATTTTTATGAATATTTATTCTTTGAATAAAAATTTCATAAAGATTCTACATATTTTATAACAACTTCCTATTAAACATTGTGATCATATGATCAGATGCATGCACTTCAGAAAGCCCTTCATTATTCAACTCCCAGTAACATAAATGGGTGTTCAAGCTTCAAAGAAATGAGCAGTAGTGAGTTTTTAACCAAATCATGGTTGGATTGATTGCCCAATACACACAATCATTAAAGAAACATACAGAAGGTTTTAAGGCTTTCTATTTGACGAATCACATTAAAAATTGTTAAACACACAGGAGCTGCTCTCATGGCACTAACACAAACAATTTGGGTTTAACCCTTTCCACACTGGCCAAGTTTTCAGGTACGAAGTCCCTAACCTTTGGAGAAGCCTCCCTCGATCCCCCTCTCACCTCCTCTCTATATGTCTAAATCGTACTTTAAAACCTACTTTTTCCAGCTTTGCCTATAGTCACCTCTCTTCCCCCTTCCTCCTCTCTCTGACTCGTCGTCTGACCCCATCATTCGCTGCTGAAGACCTTTCTTTTCGACCTCTCTGCTGAAGACCTTTCTTTTCAACCACGCCTTTGGTCACCTTCCCCCTCCTCCCCCTGGCTCGGTCCCAGGATCCGAAACTGTAAAACGCTCTGAGACGCCGTCCAGTGTGGAGGGCGCTATATAAACCCAAGTTGTTGTTGTTGTATCATTTCAAAGTGCTCTGGTCCGTTATCCTATGCGAGTATAATTACAAGTTGTTTATATCAAAAATTCAAGGTACTGTGTCTTTTTGCAACTTTGGTTGTGGGATTTTTCAATTGCATTTCACAGTGCTGGAACACATACAAATAGTAGCAAATAATACCAGATGCTAGTTTATTTAATGAAATAATTACAAAGGGAGCAGCGAGTGAGCTTTCAGACACTTCGCTCCACTCTCTGAATCTCTCTTCCAAAACCCCTCTGCCTCTCTTCTCCTTCTCCACATTTAAAACCCAAGTAAAGATAGTACCTATCTCTTTGATCTCCAACCTCTACATCTACTCTCTTCCCCCACTCCCATATCTCCCACCCAGCTCATGCTCACATTCAATCTCTGTAAAGATCTTTGAGACGGATCGCCTTCGTGAAAAGTGCTGCGTAAGTACAATTTGTTGCTGTTGATTTGAATACAGAGTAAAAGGAATATAGATTTAAGAGTTGTTTTTGCATTATTTCTACATTTTCTCACAAGGGAACAGGGCAACATACTTAAGTATTTTACTTTTAATTGATACAAATCTTCAATAATCAAAGATGTTATTTCAATGTTCAATAAATATGGAAGCAGCTGAAGGTAGGGCTAATGTTAACAGAAATGTTGTAATATAAATGTTATATTACTTAACATTTGCAATCAAGCTGGTAGATAAGGAAATGAAAACAATGAAAACATTGGCTGAATGAAAACATAAGGATTTTTTTGGTGGGGGAAAATCTATCTTATATTCATGGCTAACATTGAGGAATCTGTCTTTATAATGATAAATTACATTTGCTGTCTCCAACACTGATTCTCTTAATGCCTAAATAAAGAGCACTAATTGAATTGCTAGACTTTCCAAAGCAAATACAAATCACAAGTTTGATAGAGGGCATCTGTCCTGTACTCTATTTGACATCCAATTGATCAACAATTGCATCTCCTAATGAATCCAGCAGACTTGTATATAAATAGCCTGGAATTACACTGAGTGTTAGTCTGTAAACCAATTTTGTCTTAAAATTTACAACTGTGTAAAGCTATTTTAGTTCCATCTTAATTTGGAAGATGTTTTTTTTAGGAACTTAAAACACTTTCATAGCCGAAGTATCTTGTTGCGAAGCAGAAGTATCTCGTGTCACAAAATGATGCTCTCAACAATCAACAACAACAAAGCTACATTTGTAAAGCACCTTTCAAGTTGGAGGATGTCCCAAGGTGCTGGACAGACAGAGTTACGGACCCGAGCTGGGGGTCGGGGAGGATGGAGGGCAGGGAGGGAAGCGGGGAGATCGAAAGCACAATCGAAGAGGAGGGTCTTGAGACGGGTTTTGAAGATGGCAAGGGAGGGGGCAAGGTGGAAGGACTGTGAGATGGAGTTCCAGAGGGTGGGGGCAGAGTGGCTCAAGGCCCTCCCACCAATTGTGGGTCGAGTGAGGCAGGGTGAAGCAGGCCGGAGCCCGCTGAGTGGAGGGAGCGAGCAGGATGATAGGGGGTTAGGAGGTCGCAGAGGTAGAGGGGAGCAAGACCATGGAAGGCTTTGAAGGTGAGGACCAGGATCTTGAACTGTATCCTCTGTGTGATGGGAAGCCAGTGGAGCAATATTGCTTATTAAGGAAGAACAGGAAACATAATTTACCCGATTTGGGGAAAGTAGAAAGAAATTGTAAACAAAAATCTATTGATAGAACCACAGAACTGTAGAAATTTACAGCACAGAAGAAGCCATTCAGCCCTTTGTGACTGTGTTGGCTCTTTTACGAGCTATCCCCATTTATTTGCCCTTTCCCTATATCCCTGTAGTTTACCCCCTTTTTGGTATTTATCTAGTTCCTTTTTGAAAGTTAATATGGATTATGTCTCAATCAATGCTCCCAATAGCGTATTCCAAGTTCTAACTACTTCTGAATTTTTTTTTGTTTGCTCACTATCTGAAATTGATGGCCTCTAGTTACTGACTCAATGACCCTGATATCCAATAAATCGCATCAGGTGACAATGGAGAGACAAGGAAATTTCCCTGTAAGATAAATATTACACCGTAACTGGTGCAGTCTGAGGTTAGGATTCAGACATTGTTTGGTTGGTCTGCTGGGTTTCTAATACACAAGGAAACCCTTCATCATGCTTAAGAATATCCCAACCAAAATACTGACAGTTATACATTGGTATGGAAATTTACCTTTGTCAGGAATGGAACTATGTACTCTCCGGAGATACAAAGCTTGTTTACCTAATCCCAGACAGTATTAGGCGCAGGTTGCCAATAGCTAAGGCTTGAGGATCCCAGAGTGTGAGTTACAGTAGTTGGCTGAAGTGTAACTAGCTAAAACAGTTGTAAACACTGACTGGCAACCTTTTCCGCTGATGAATATAGAGTGGAAACATCTGATTTAGTTCACTGATGATTTGATTCGTATCGCATTCCAAAATTGTCTTGGAAATTATCTAAGCTTTTTTTGAATTCCTTTTCACATTAGTTATTTCTGCTACCTTTTGTCTGGGTTGCTGATACATGCTTGTATAGGTTTCTCTTTAAAGATCGTTTTCCAGGTTCTTTTTGTAAAATGAAGTATGTATTTTGTCTCTGTTGAATTAACTGCATTTGAAGAGATTGAATTGCCCAACTCAGACCTCCTTAATCTCAATAAACCCTTTTCTTACCCTTTTCTTCAATGCTTGATTTAACACATGCTTTGCTTGTTTAGAGAGGCTTTCATTTATCTCCAAGACATTCTTCTAGACTGAAGCCTGGGTTATAAGATTAGGATCCTGAGGCAGAAACCCATTAGACTGCCACACACTAACTTGATGTATAACCATTCATTTGGTCAGTACAAAACATTCTATTTTGAGTAACATAGGAACAGGAGTAGATCATTCAGACCCTCAAGCCTGTTTCGTTATTCTACTAGATCATGGCTGATCTGAACTCCAAATACAGTTACCTTAACAGTGCAGTTCAATTCAACAACAACAACAACAACAAGATTCCATTTATAAAGCGCCTTTCACGTCAGGAGGACGTCCCAAGGCGCTGCACAGTTGGGTCATGACCCGAGCAGGGGGGAAATGGTGAGGGGAGGGAAGGGAGGGAGCGAGGAGGGGGAAGAGAGTCGAGAGGGGAGCTGAAGGCACGGTCAAAGAGAAAGGTTTTGAGACCGGCCTTGAAGGAGGAAAGGGAGGAGGCGGCGAAGGCACTGGGGGATAGAGTTCCAGAGCCTGGGGGCTGAGAGGCTGAAGGCCCGACCACCAATGGTAGGGCGGTTGGGGCGGGGGACGTGGAGCAGACCGGAGCCAGAGGAACGGAGGGTACGGGCAGGTAGGTAGGGGGATAGTAGGTTGGAGAGGTAGGAGGGAGCGAGGCCGTGAATGGCCTTGTAGGTAATTCACTCTCAAAACCACGTTACAACAACAGTTCATTATATATTTGCAATAATTATTGGGTTGGAAAAAGATAAGCAATAGGTTTTAATCTGTGCACTGCACTTCATATTGCATTACTTTGGGCCTCTACTAGCTAAAAGCATTGGAAATTAACGTGAATTAACAGTTCTCAGTTAAGTAAACTAAGCTAATGTTATAATAGGGAAGATAAACAAAGGTACGTTTCCAAAACATGGTACAGATGGCATATATGCAGCATTCCATATGTGGAACTCTTAATCTGATTTGGATAAGCTTAAACATGGTGATGGACTCCTGCATGTATCCACACCCAACTGACCATAGAAGATGTAGATGGCACTGGGAGCTTGACTTAATTCTGTTCTATTTCTGTGTTCCCTACTGACACAGGATACTTCGCTCACCTAAGCACTTAAAGATGCAATGTACTGCTCTCAGCCACAGCACCTAAAAACATTATTTGCTTTAAATCCAGGTCCCACTTTATCAAATAGTGTGCTAATAAAATGAGCAAATACAGAAAGTAATATACAGATGACACATAGATAAATGGTCTGACCTTGAACTGAAAAGTGTTCTCTAGAAAATGGTTTTGAGTATGGTTTGGACTACCCTGTTATCGTAAATGGCCGGCTTGTGAGAGGCAAATAATTAGGTATAATAAAGCCAACACAGTACAAAGCAATGCAGGGGCAATGTTTTGTTCATTTACTGTGAGAAAAATATTAACGATCTAAAATGAAAGAAAATTCAAAGCGTTAAAGAAACCAGAGTTTAAACATTGACTGATAAAAAAANGCATTTGAAATAACAGCAACAAAATTACATTTGCAGAGCATCTTTCATGTAGGGACACTCAATGTTTCGCACCTGAGCTGAGGGTTGGGATCAGAGAGGGTGGCGGGCAGGGGGGGGAAGGAGGGTGATCGACAGCATAGTTGAAGAGGAGATTCTTGAGACGGGTCTTGAAGGAGGCAAGGGAGGGTGTGAGCAGAGGGACTGTTGGATAGGGGCAGAGTAGCTGAAGTCCGGCCCAGCAATGGTGGGGCGAGCAAGGCGGGGGATGTGAAGCAGGCCAGAGCCCATTGAGCGGAGGGAGCAGGCAGGTTGGTAGGGGTTGGGAGGTTGCAGAGGTAAGGGGAGCGAGGCCATGGAGGGCTTTCAAGGTGAGGACCAGGATCTTGAACTGTATCCTCTGTGTGATGGGAAGCCAGTGGAGTCGGGTGAGGATGGGGCGGTAGGGTCACAGAGCCTGGTGCGGGAGAGTACATGAGCTGCAAAGTTCTGGATAATCTTCAGCCTATGGAGGGAAGAGTTGGGAAGCTGTCAAGTAGGGAGTTTATGAATTAGTCAAGCCTGGATGTTATAAATGTATGTATGAGGGATTCGGCAACCTGCGGTGTGAGACAGTGGCAGATCCGGGTGATGTTGCGGAGGTGGGGGAAGGCAGAGCAGGCCACGGCACGGATGTGGGGTAGGAAGGATAGTTAAGGTCAAGCAAGATGTCAAGGTCCTGTACTGATCCAGTGAGATGGAGTGTGCATCCTTGAATGGTGATGCTGTCAGAACCTGAGGTGTGGAGGTGCTGACAGGAGCCAATCAGGAGGGAGTCAAGCGAGGGCTAGAGGAGAAACTGTTTGTGGAGATGAAGTGGAGACGGTGTGAGAGGTGTGATCTGAACCATTGAAGGACAGAACCATGAAGGTTGAGATGAAAGGAGAGGCGGTGGAGGAGGATAGAGTTGTCAATGGTATCAAAGGCAGTAGAGAGGTCAAGGAGGACTAGGAGACAGGTCCTCTCCCACCAGCTAGAGACATTTTCGCAGACTCTAACAGGCTCTCAATGTATCTAAATTAGTATTGATTTTAGATCAATAACCAAATCAACAGGACAGGCCTGTCTGCCTAAGTATTATATAGTATCATTTAGAATCGTACAATTATAGAAATTTACAGTCATTGAGTCTGACCCAGCTCTAAGAGTAAGGTTTCCATTCAATCCCACTGCGCTGCCCTACATCTATACCCCTTCAAGCCTCTAACTTTCTTGCACAAAACAACTTAGCTTTTTCAGATAGCGTTGTGTAGTCTGTTCTTTGATTGTTGATTAACAAGTAACAGCAAACTGTTCCTAACTACAGTAAGAATTTTGCTGTGCAGCAGGTATTGTGCAGTAGGATTTACATTTTTTGAGCAATGCCTGCTTTCTATTGAATAGAATTCTTGCATACAGTCACCAGCAATGTTCTTAATAGCAGAATAATCACAATGACAAAAGAGTCAAAAACATAGGGAACACATAATAACAATTAGAAATGTAAGAGTAAGGAGGAGAACTTTTCCACGCATAGGGAGGAAGCTGTAGCTCAGTGGTTAGAGTCCTGTAGCTCAGTGGTTAGAGCACTTCTCTTTGCAAGCAAGATACCTGGGTTCAATTCCAGGCAGGGTGAAACCTTGGGCAAGTTTCCTTACTCCACACGCCTAATGATAATCACTCCAAAAAAAAACAATAATAAATTGGTCATTTTCAATCCACGACTGTTTGAGGGACACTGCTGTGCACACTTGGCTGCTGCGTTTCGCCCACAAATATACAGTCAATTCACTTTATAGCATATTCTGTGAAGCGCTTTGAGACGTCTGGAAGACGTGGAAAGCTGTATATCAAATGCAAGGAATATTATTATTATAAGCTTTGTGGGTTCACAATGCAGTTCAGTAGCTGTGTTTCTAGAGACAGAAAAGTTTGAGGAACATGGTGAGGGCACCTGTTTTATGACATAGCTTCCATTTTACAAGATATTTGCTTCTGCAAATAAAAGGTCCTAAATGAGAATACAATATAACATACAAAAACAACTTGCATTTATATAGCACCCTTCATGTGGGGTAGAGGCCCAGAGCGCTTCACAATGGCAGAGTCTGACAATGAGCCAGGGGGAGAGGGAGGAGGAAGGTGCCTTAAGGATGATCAAAAAGGAAGGTCTTTAGGTGGGATTTGAAGGCGGGGAGGGAGGGGGCAAGGTGGAGGGATTGAGGGAGAGAGTTTCGGGGTGTAGTGGCTAAAGGCATAGCCACCAATGGATTTATATAGCACCTTTCATATTGGGGGCATCTTAAAGTGCTTCACACTGCTGACTGGACAAAGGCAGAAGGTAGGAGAGAAGGCATTCAAAAAGGCTGCACAGTAATTTTTCTGTCCTGAAAAAAAACTTTTATTCTTAAGTTGGACTTCTGTGATAAATCGTTAAAGGCTTTGAGTTATTCAGAAACGTGTAACAGTATTTATTCTCATGCTACCTCTGTCCTCCTTTCTGTGCCTCCATGTGTTACATTGACAAATTAGATAATAACCTCTGTTGTCAATAATGAAAATAGCAATACTGATTAAAAAATACCGAGTGCAATTCAGTCAATAACATTTTCATTCCAGTCTTGGAAAATGATGTCTTGTGTAAGTGCTTGATGACAACTAGGTGATTGCACTAAAATGACCTGCGATGCTATCTCCTGTTATCTATGAAAAAAAATCGAGCTTCTTAATATCAGTTGAGACAGGAGCATTCACTCCTTACACTTTGAAAATAACATGGATAATGAGAAAAAGAATGATGTAAAGGCTTATTTAATTAGGGATGAAAGTAATAATAATAATCCTGGCATTTAATTGCACTTGATATAAAGCCTATGAAGTAAAAATATCGCAAACATAAAAACACTGAAGATGCCCTCCCAACATGGAATGACTATTACATTAATTACAGTTAAGTGCAGTGACTGTGTATTTTTGGGCAAATGTGCAACCGATATGCGAGCGCAGAAATGTTTTACAAACAGCCATGAAGTGAATGACCAATATTTTGGAGGATTGTTGGTTGGTATACTGGGAGAAACTCCCTTCTCGTTTTGAATCATGCCATGGGATCTTTAAACCACCTGACCAGGAAGATGAGACTTTGATTTAATGCCCAAAGCACGTCACCTCTGATAAGACAACATTCCCCAGCATTGCACAATTACCTCTGAAATTAAATGGCATAGCATCAAATAACTTTCCAGATAGCAATCGAGGACAACCTCCAGTAAGGAATCGTTTTATTAAATGATTTCCCCAGTTTAAATAATGAGAATGAATGTGTTTACATTACTATAGAGCATCCACAAATAACAGTAATTACATTATGCCCGCTGTGCACAGAGGTGCCGAGGTCACAGCCAATCAGTGTAAGATTTCAAATGTTTTAAAAAAAATTAAAGGAACCCGAGACACTCACTATCTAGATTCGCACATGACAAATGGCTTGTGTCATGGTTCTCATTCTTTACGTGTGAGCCTACAAAACCCAAGGTCACTACACTTTACAGGAAAATCCTTTGAAGTGTTTTAAGACATCCTCCTGATATGAAAGGCACTAAAGATGATTATTGTTACATTGTTATAGACAGCGAGTGTGTCCTGGAAGGGCATCAGAAACAAACCTGAACTGGTCCTCGCTGATGCTGACATACATATTTCCTGAAGGTGATCAACTCTACAATACCATAAAATTAGATTCCCAAAGGGGTAGCTTTATAAGAGAGTGCACTTAAAGGATTTTAAAACCTCCCCAAAAAAGTACATTTCCAATTCCAGTAGAATGCATCAATTAATCTTGATGTGAACACATCTGACTAACCTCTGCATGTTTGTGCGGTTGACAAGAGGCAGAAAATCGGTGACAGCTACGTATATAAACGTCTGCGCATTGGCAATAATCCTGAGAACAGCGTCAATATCTTTTGTGCGGCCTTTGGGGCATAACGATGCAGGAGAGCTCTATTGAGAAAAAAAATACGTGAATTAGCAGATACCGACTGGAATTAGCTCAATACATCAACCTGTGGTAGTTATTTCTAATGTACTGAACTCAGCCTCAACCAGGTACCTTTCTATTAAAGCACTCCAAGACACTCCCTAACACAAAGAGGGTTATATAAATGCAAGTTGTTGTTATTGTTTCTCCCTCGTCTTCACTCTTGTTTGCCCACTCTCGTTCCCTCTCATGCTTATCTCGTCAAGAAAAGAGGTCTCCAATATTGCATTGATTAGTTGACATTGGTCCAGCCGACCAACTGCATTATAACCTGTGTTTGGAAGTGGAGGGTTACTCAGGCAGTTCAATAAAAGGAATAAACCTGGTTACAAAAGAGTAAATGGACTCATTCAAGAAACACTTTGATGGGAGGACAGTAGGATGGGTATTCAGGAAGGATAAGATAAATGAGCCGAAGGGCCTTCTTCTTCCCAACCGCTCTTGTGATCTTGTAATTTTTAGAGGCAAAATGGCTACCCCAACTAGCTAAACTGAGATTAGTCTGAGTTGACTAATGCTGGGTTAAAGTTTGATCAAATGGAAGAGCTAGAGTAGGAATGCCCAGGCTATCATTTACCAGTTGTCCTTAGGGCCCATTTAAGACACAATCCTTGTTTAGGGCATAATTCCTGCCTTCCTGCAACAAGTGATTTTACTCATTATAAAACAACCACTTCTCTCTAGCTGTATAATGCCTCCAGTTTTAAGGAACCCGAAAATGAACCTTTACTCACTGACAAGTAGACATTGGCTTCAGTATCATTCAGCTGTAACTGAAGAGTTGAATTCTCATTGATCAAAGCAAATACTTTCTTCGACCAATTTTCAGGTACTGAGTCCTTGTATTGCAGCTGCCAGTAGACAGAAAACACTTTGTGCAAATCCAGAGCTAGGCAGCTGCAGTTGTAGATAATGACACCAAGTTCTTTCATCTGTAAAATGAAAGCGTATTTCTGTTCAAAGGCAAAGCAGCATAAAGGGAAATACCGTATTTTATTTTATACAGTAACCTATTACAAAAAGGCATATTATCATTTTCATACATGGCACAGCAAGTCAAAGTAAATGGCTTTCAGAGAATCTGCTGGAGCATCTGCTGATGTACAGAGATATTATTGCTTGTAATAACTAACATCTTGTTCTTTTCTGGGGTTTTCCTTACAGCTTTCAAGACATCATGTGGAGCCTTGTTCTAATTTAACAGAATTTAACAGTAGATAATTAAGTTTTATAATGGAGATAGTATAATGTCCAGTTCACTAAGAACACTCAACAGGTCAGGCAGCATCTATGGAGAAAGGAAAGTGAGTCAACGTTTTTGGGTCCACGGCCTTTTGTCAGAACTGGGGCATTCTGAGAGGGAGAGGTTTTTAAGGGCTAACAGAGAGGGGGGAGCAGGGCAAGGAACACGAAGGAGAAAATGGGGGAGAAGACAGGGGACGATGGGTTACAGAGGTGTTAATGATGCAAACAAAGAAGGGGAATAGAGGTGTTAATAATGCAGAACAAAGAGGGGGGAAAGACTGCAACAAAATTACATAGACTAGAGAAAGAAAAGGTGCGTCTGGAACCAAGATGATGTGATAATGGTCACTGAAGAGGGGGAGGGGGAATGTGAGCTGTTACGGTCTGAAATTGTTGAAATCAATAGTGAGGCCAGAGGGGTGTAAGGTACCCAGCAGATAAATGATTCAATCACTAAACATATCTTTCCCTCCGTGACTCCCTGGTTCTTTCCTCCATCACCACCAACAGTTCCTCTGCTCCCCCTGGCACCTTCCCAAGCCAGTGCAGGAGATGCAATACCTGCCCTTTCACCTCCTCCCTCCCATACCACTGTCCATGGCCCCAAACACAGTTTTCAAGTGAGACAGCGATTTACGTGCACTATCACCAATGTAGTTTACTGCATTCGCTGCTCACGATGTGGTCTCCTCTACACTGGGCGGATGAAATGCAGATTGGGCGACCAATTTGCAAAACACCTCCATTCTGTCTGCAAGCACAACCCTGAGCTTCCTGTTTCTTGCCATTTCAGCTCTCCCTCGCACTTGCATTCTGACCTCTCCATCCATGGTCTCCTACGCTATTCCAATGAGCCACAGTGCAAGCTCAAGGAATAATCCCACAGAAAAAAATTCACTCAATGGTCACTCAACCCATGACTATTTGTGGGCACTGTTGTGCCTAATTGGCTGCCACGTTTTGTCCACAAAATGCACAGTCAATCCACTTTACAATATATTCTGTGAACTGCTTTGAGATGTCTCAACAATGTGGTAAAGTGCCATATCAAATGCAAGGATTATTATACAATTTTTTAAAAAAATCTATCTACAAGAACAACTTGCATTTATATAGATGTTGACGTGGGACAACATCTCAGAGTGCTTAGTTCCCCCTTGAAAGCTAATATGGGTCCTGGTACCTTCCTAGTACATCTACTCTGCAGCTCTGTATAGTATGGTCCTCCACTCTTCCTGAAGTGGGGTGACCAAAACTGGATACTATTGGGGTAAACATCCATCTAGGTCTAGAGTTACTCTAGAGTCTAGAGTTAGTTATGTAGCAATATTAGAACATTCAGAATTTGATCCAGAATAGAAGGATGTGTGACGAGTTTGGTTTCTGAATTAGAAATAAACTGTAAGTGTATGTAAAATTATGTATTTATAGCAAGAGCTGAAAGTTCATCCTGTACTTTTTAACATGATGCCATGGGTTATGATGCCACCTTGAATATTTGCATGAAAGGGGCAGAAAGTTATGGAAACTAAATAAGTGAGTGAAGAAACCTCACTTCAACTCCACTTCAGCTACAAATCAGTCATTGTACTTAAGTGTATATTCTGTGAAACGCTTTGGGGGGGCTTTCCAAATGTGAAAGGTGCTACATCAAATATAAGGATTATTATTAATATAGCTGACCAGAACAAAACCAGTAGTTTTGCAACATACTATATCTTGAAAACAAGGGGAGAAGGTTGGACAGGCCATGGGCTCAGCTGTAAGGTTCGTCAAAAATCTGTCATCTGAATTCATCCAAGTCCAAATCAATATTTGCTCAGCTTGAAACCAGTGACCAGTCAGAATAAGTTGCATATCTCTGAAGAAATATTCTAAAATAATCATTGCCTTCCACCAAGAAGGGTTCCTTTCTAGGTTAAAGGTCAGTTCTATTTACTAACTGGACCCTGTGTTTCCCTTCAACACAACAGCTATGGAAAAGATATCTCAAATCATGCAAAGTTTACAAATCAGGAGAGCGTTCAGCCCATCATGTCTGAGCTGATGCATCTTTATTAAGTTGTTGGCTGACATAAAGACAAGCTATGGATTTGCTTGACCCCAGAGTCCTTTTGTTCCTGAGCATGGCAAGAATTCCATTTTCTCCTGGAAGTACTTCAGTCATTTATTCAAATAGTATTGAGGAAAAACTCAATAGCTGGAACACAGTCTGTGCCTACTTGCAACTCATTAGGAATTCTGTCCTCTTCCTTCTGTCAGTGGATGCCATCAAACTGGACCAAAGACCAACAGATCACAGGCAAATGTGGAGGAGGGGAAAGAGACGGGGATAAATAAATAATCTTACAGGGGAGTAACCACTAGAAGGGAGATAATCAAAAATAAAAATAATCCTTGCATTTGATAACACCTTAACACATTGAAATGTCTCAAACGCTTCACTGATTTTTCTGTAAAGAGTAGTGACTGTGTTTTAGAGGCGAATGCAGCAGTCAATTTGCATGCGGCAATATCCCACAAACAGAAAATAAATGAATGACTATATTTGTCTGAAGTGGGGCTTGAACCCACAACTTTCTGATTCAGTGGCAATGGTACTACCGACTGGGTTAGACTAACACTGAAAATTATCACATGCATGTGGTTTACATATGTGGAACTCTGTCTGGTTTGGATACTCTTAAGCATGATGATGGTTTTCCACTTGTGTCAATGACCCTGAAAAAAGATATAATTGGCTTTGCTTCAATTAGCTTGTGTACAATTGGCTGCTGTGTTTCGCCCACAAAAATGCAGTCAATTCACTTTACAGTATATTCTGCGAAGCGCATTGAGACATCTTGAAGACGTGATACGCGCTATATCAAATGCAAGGATTATTATTATTATTATAATTAACACTTGTGAAATGGGTTTCAAATGTCCCAGGCTTCCTCCATTATCTCTCCTAAGTGACCTTTCATCATGCATGAGCCCAAGGAATGGGGGTTGACAGGCTATTCAACTGTGAAGAGTGTCTGTCACAGCCGAGGTAGATATTGTCCTTACCTAATCTGTACATAGAATATGTTTCAGTAGGAACATTGGGTAGTAACCTCACATTGTTTTTTCCCTCACCAAACCAACAAGTACTGATCAAGGCTAACTGTAGTGTCAAAATAGAGAAACTTATCAGCTTAGCACAGATTGACGAGCAAAACTAAATACTCCTTGCATTGGATATAGCCCCTTATCACGTCTTTGAGACATCTCAAAGCACTTCACAGAATATACTGTAAAGTGAATTGACTGTATATTTTGTGCACGAAACTTGGCAGCCAGTTGCGCAGAGCAATGTCCCACAAACAGCCGAGGATTGAGTGTTTTTTTTAATGAATTATTACACCCGGAAACGTAATCTGCCAATATTCTAACAACCGGGTTCCCACTTACTACTAGGTAAACAGAGGTGTGTGGAATAAGGAAACTTGCCCAACGCTTCTCCCTGCTGGGGATTGAACCCAGGTCCTCTCGCTTGCGAGCTGAGTGCTCTAACCACTGAGCTACAGGACAACTAGCTGAAAATAAGGAAAACAAATTGCCTTTATTATGTGGCTTAATTGCAGGAGTCCTTGTAGGGAACCCATTAGCTGTTGTACTTGTAGCACACATATTTCACATCTCTCTAGTAACACATTGACATTGACCTCTGTTAATCATCATCTTTCAGTATTGATAGACTGGTGTGATTGAGGTGAGCCTCTCTTTGCAAAACTTCTGATGCGTGAACTAAACTAGTCACCAGCATCTGCGTAATTCATGTTCAGTTTACTTCATAATAATAATAATAATCCTTGCATTTGATATTGCGCTTTTCACGTCAGGAGGACGTCCCAAAGCGCTTCACAGAACACACTGTAAAGTGAATTGACTGTATATTTGTGGGTGAACGTGGCAGCCAATTGCGCACAGCAATGTCCCACAAACAATTGTAGATTGAAAATGACCAATTTATTATTGTTTTTTGTTTTGGAGGGATTATTATTAGGCGTGTAGAGTAAGGAAACTTGCCCAAGGTTTCGCCCTGCCTGGAATTGAACTCAGGTCTCTCGCTTGCAAAGCGAGTGCTCTAACCGCTGAGCTACAGGACTCCGAACTTCATACTCACACTGCTGCTCTGCAGACACACAACTTCACTTTCCAACCAACAACAACAACAACAACAACAAGATTCCATTTATAGAGCGCCTTTCACGTCAGGAGGACGTCCCAAGGCGCTGCACAGTTGGGTCATGACCCGAGCAGGGGGGAAATGGTCAGGGTGAGGGGAGGGAAGGGAGGGAGCGAGGAGGGGGGAAATGGTCAGGGTGAGGGGAGGGAAGGGAGGGAGCGAGGAGGGGGAAGAGAGTCGAGAGGGGAGCTGAAGGCACGGTCAAAGAGAAAGGTTTTGAGACCGGCCTTGAAGGAGGAAAGGGAGGAAGCAAGGCGAAGGCACTGGGGATAGAGTTCCAGAGCCTCGGGGCTGAGAGGCTGAAGGCCCGACCACCGATAGTAGGGCGGTTGGGGCGGGGGACGTGGAGCAGACCGGAGCCAGAGGAACGGAGGGTACGGGCAGGTAGGTAGGGGGATAGTAGGTTGGAGAGGTAGGAGGGAGCAAGGCCGTGAATGGCCTTGTAGGTGAGGATGAGGATCTTGAAATCAATCCTCTGGGGGATGGGGAGCCAGTGGAGGCGAGCGAGGGTGGGAGTGATGTGGTCCGAAGCCTGGTGCGGGACAGTACACGAGCTGCAGAGTTCTGAATGACCTGCAGCTTGTGGAGGGAGGTGCGGGAAGGCCGGCGAGGAGAGAGTTCCCATAGTCCAGCCTTGAGGTGACAAAGGCGTGAACCAGGGTTTCAGCGGCGTGAGGGGTGAGGTAGTGCCGTAATCTGGCGATATTCCGGAGGTGATGGAAGGCGGTGCCAGTTGTGGTGCGGATGTGAGGGAGAAAGGACAGCTCAGGGTCGAACAAAACGCCGAGGTTCCTGACTGGCTTTGAGAGGTGGAGAGTGCAGCCTTGGATGCTGATGGTGTCAGCGCCTGAGGTGCGGAGGCGCTGACGTGAGCCAATCAGGAGGGCCTCGGTTTTTCGCACGTTGAGCTGAAGAAAGTTGTCTCTCGTCCAGGACTCGATGTCGGACAGGCAGGCTGTCAGGACATCGGTGGTCGTGGAGTTGAGGGTAGAGGAGGAAAGGTAGAGTTGGGTGTCATCCGCATACATGTGGAAGTTAACCCCATGTTTGCGGATGATGTCACCAAGGGGGAGCATATAGAGGGTGAAGAGGAGGGGACCGAGGACAGAGCCCTGAGGGACACCACATGAGACAGTACGGGGGGTGGAGGAGAAGCCATTCGTTGAGACGAACCAATCAGTCAGTTGCCTGCAACTGTGCCAACTTCACTTACACTTTAATCTTTCATTCCCTGCCATCTATGACAATTAATTATTTTCCTTTCAGTGTTTTCCCAAATGCTGTACATTTGTCTTTCATACTGAATAGATTGCTTCAGCTGTCCATTATTCATTGAAGTGTGCAATTTCCCCCGAATTTCTCACTGAGGTAATGATATCTATACACAGTGGGCCTTATATAAACCACCCATTAACTAGATGTAGAAGCTTAAACTTTACCTGTTCAATGTATGGAAAAGAAATTTTAAAAACTTGCATTTTCAAAGCCATTTTAGGAGGTTGAAACATCTAAGTGGTTCAAAGGTAATTACTGTCAAGCATGAAGGCAAAAACAGCAGCCACTAGCATCAGAAAGACTCCACAAACAGCTGTGAGATCATCATCATCATAGTTTATCCTTTCCAATCCACAGCAGTTGTGAGATGAATGACTCCTGAATCTGGAGACCTACTAATGTTTTATCCCAGACTTTGGGAGAAACTCACTTCTCCTTACGAAAAATGTCTTGGGATATTTCACATCCACCTGAACAGTTAGGCACGACTGTGGTTTAACATTTCATCTGAAAGGTGGCACTCTCGCTATACAACACTGGAGTATCAACAAAGACTAATGAGCTCACATCCGTAAATGCAACTTGAAACCACAACCTTCTTACCCAAAAGATAGAGTGCTATCAAACTGAGCCAGGCTAACAGGCAAAAGAAACAGTATGCAAATGTTCCAAGGTTCTTTTAAAAGAAGCCCATGATTATTTTTCTTTTGCATATAAAATTACCTGAACCAGGGAGCGCCAGTCCATGTGGGCACTGCCAATGTAAATGTGCTTCTTGTCCACCACCCAGAAGGAAGACTGAAGTTTGCCGCCGATAATGGGAGCCATGTCTATATACTTCACCTTAGCACCTGCATGTTAAACAGTCAATAACTGGTCATTAGCTGCCATTTAAACTGCTGTATTCAAATGTTACATTGACATGCGGAGGATTGGTTCTGAAAACATATATCTCACAAATGAGCTGACAGGATCCCTAGTATCCATCAAAGCTGCCAGTGCAATGCTTCTCAATAACAAATTTGATAACACAACAGATCTGTTAAGAAATATTATGTTTTTCACTCCTGTATTCTGCGTGTGTTTATCTTGCAATTTTATTTTGTGAAAAGCAATGATTGCTATAATTTTATTTGTGTGGGCTTAATGGTGCGTTATATTCCTTTGTGGGTTGGTTAAACTGATATTACTGTTTTTTCCAACAATTCAACTCCCATCAGTTATGGTCATTCACTGGAGCCATCGAACATCTTTGAAACAAAACTGGTTCTAATTTGCACTCTTTCTTAGTAAGAAATGTGTAATTTCCAAACCATCAAATGCACTGATTTCATTCTGAAGTATTTTTTTTAGAAATGTTACTAATTAGATATTTCTTATTAAGAAATCAGTTAAGAAATACCAAAAAATTAGACTCAGGTTATTTATTAATAATGTAAGATAAGTCACCAGTGAATTGTTTGAAGTGATTTTTCCATCCCCGCTCTCTGCTGATAAATGCAGAATCCTCAGCCACCCAATGAACCATACATTCTTCATACGTGTCCCCAGGCAGTGAGTATCAAGAGACTGTTCAATCACATGGCCATCGCAAGTTTGTTAGCTGTGATCTCCTTTTTTGGTCATTTAGGATAGATTTTTTAAAAATCCTTTATGCATACAAGTGAAAATAATTGCAAGGTCATGCATTTGAAAACGCCCTGCAAGTTTATTTTAACTGTGAAAGACAAAACTAGTGACATTAGAATGGAGGTGGTGATATACTGTTATAGGTACAATAAAGATACAGAGAACAATCCAAAACCTGGCTGAAATGCATTATGTCACAACATTGCCGACTAGATTAGTTTTTTAGAGACATTTTTTCCCATGTACTAACCATCCTGAGAAGCTGCTGGCTTAGCAGCTTCAATGTGAAGCCAGACCCATTGACTCCAAGCTCAATGCCTATCAAAGAATTTTCCTCTCGCTCAATAGTGCTAATATAATACAACTAATCTTTGTCTAATCCAAAACATAGCAAAAATCTTATTAGTTTTAGTTTTATTGCACTTGCATCTATCAATATCCAGATGAATTTGGGTTCAAGTCCTGAGTTATTGTCTTTCCTACTTGCTGAAAACATTCATTAGGCAGCCACATCCTGGCAAGCACCAAATTAACTGCTTAAAAGACTTAGCTCATCCCTTTAAACAGCAACTGCAAACAGAGAGAAAGAGAAACTGTGAATGAGCGCATGTTGGAGATTGAAAATAAATATAGAAAATGCTAAAAATGAACAGGAGGTCAAATAGCATCTGAAAAACACAGATTAACTTACAAGATAGACAGTCACCACACCGTGAATCCTGTAAAGTGCTTTAAGATATTTCAATGACATGAAAGGCACTATATCAAATGAAAGATTATTATTCTTATTAACGATTTGGTATGACAATTTTTAAAAGTGAGTGTGTGGACAGGGTGCTTGACCTCATAACTAAAAGCCTGTCAATACTCACTGTCGTGGCTCACTATGTGGAATAGATCCTTGAGGGTGACATCAACCCCCATTGTGAATCAGTGTGTTCAGGAGAGTAGCGGCAACCACAAGGACATGTGTTCTTAAAAAGCTCAAAAAGGGTGAGAATCAAAATGTTAACCTCGTTCTCTTTCAGATGCTGATTGACCCTGGCGTACATTTCTGGCATTTATTTGAATGTAAGAGCAATAAAGAATAGGGCATCAGTTATTTTGAAAAAAACGCATTTGAATGGAAAAAAAACTATTATTTTAAAGTAGCGATCAGGAGCACAGTTTTAATATAGGAATGACATGTGCAGACTGAAAAATGTAATCATTGCCAAAAATACAGTAAAGCCAGTCACAAGATCACAAAAGAGACTTTGCTCCAAAAATACAGTCATGCCACATTACAGTATATCCTGTGTAGGGCTTTGAGACATCTCAACAACATGATAAGGCGCTAAATCAAATGCAAGGATTTTTAGTATTACTATTGTAAGAGAGATTTGGATGAAGAAGGCCCATTGCTTTATTTGATCTCACACTGAATACCCACCCCACCATCCTCCCATTCCTTCATCAAACCGTTTCTTAAATGAGTCTAGGATTCTGACCTCAAACTCCTAATAATATGGACATAATATTTGGCTCAATGCATTCAGCTATTGGAGTCAATACCTACTGAGCTCGACATTAGAATGCTGCCTCAAAGCACATAAGCCAAACTCATTCTGAGTTAAGATGAAATCCCACAAAAAAACTCAAATACAACAACATCTTGGATTTATATTGCACCCTTCACGTAGGGTAACATCTTGGAACACTGAACAATGGTGGAGTTTGCTATTAAGATGGGGAGAAAGAGGAAGTGACTGTAGGCACAGTCGATTAGAAAGATCTTCGGGTACAATTTGAAGTTGGATAAAATGGGATAAGTAGCTTTATGGGTACCAGTTCCAATGGCACCAGATGGAGGTTTCAGCTCCAACTATTGTACCAAAGTCAGGAGTAGGGCTAATCTACATCCCAGTTGCTAACTATCACATCACACGGGGAGTCCTATGTATACATCATTGACACTTAACCTTTGAATGCACTGCAGCAATAAGGAAACAAACATCAGATATTTTCAAAGAACAACTCTGCCAAATGACACACAAAATAGTTCCTTTTGGGAGAGCCTTAAAACTCAGAATGGAGAAACAATTCAGAGAGGAACATGATGCAATAAAATTCAATTACCTGCCAAAGTAGAGTAATTACAACCTACAGATTCAAAGAAAACCTCATTTATCTTCACCTTGTCAACAGCATGGTGCACGGCTAGCCATTCAACCATCTTTGATGGCATCATTAATAATGTCACAAAGCAAAGAGCTTGTTCACAGCCAAATGAATTCATCTATCTTGGTGAGATTTGGTAATGCTATGGGGATAGATATGTGCAAGTGCAAGTGACTATTCACTGTCTTTTAGGGCCGATCAGAGTACAAATCCCCCATGAAGACATCACTATAACTCTTATGAAGGGTCACAAGTAAATTGAGTTCCACTTAGCTTAATATTGAGCGGACATAAATCCACATCCCCAAATCCTGAAATCTATAATTTGATACCTCTGTTTTTCCTTAAAATAGAGACAGAATTTAAGACTGGTCAATATTGGTTGGCCTTAGTACTCAAAGCCCAAACTCTCCATCACTGACTTCCTGCTGCATCTCAGACCTCCAGCCGTAGCCTGCTCCTATTCTTCAACTACATGCTTCCACTGGTGACATCTACTCTAATTTACAACACTGTTACTGTTCTGATTTACAGCAAATCACGTATGAGCAAGGTCCTGCAACTGAATATCAACAAGCTTAAAGTCATCCTCTCTTGGCCTCGGCCTCAGTGACATGCCTCTGGCTCTGATTCATCAGCCTCTGCACCTCAGATCCACTATCGTGACCACCTTCTTTCAACTCCAGGACATTGCCCTTTTAACACCTCTATCTCACTGCCATCTTTACTGAAATTTTGTACAGCTGTGTAAAACGCTCCTGACGTGAAAGGTGCTATATAAATATGAATTGTTGTTATAGCTTTTGTCATCTCAAGGATTCTATCCAATGTTTTGCTCATTGGCCTCCTTAGCGTCACCCTCCAGATGCATCAACTGATACAGAGCTCAGGGGCTAAGTTCTTTCCAACACCAAAGTCCACACACCTAAATGAAAGGAATAAATGCAAGTTTTTGCGATTTCTTTGATTTATTGCGACTTCAGCTATACAGAATACAACCCAACTTTATACAGCTCCCTTTATAATGAACTATTGTCTCTTTGAATCTGTTTTTGGCCATCTTTCCCCTCCTCAGCCCCCTCAGCTTCCGCTCCCAGCGTAGGTGCCAAATCAGTATTGTCAATCACCTTGGGTCATCCTCGCAATGTGGTAAATTTGTACTGAATTGCATTGTAAGTTCCTTCCCTCAAAAAGCAAGCTAGTGGACCAATGGTGAACTTATTTCTGGGTTAATATATCTTCCTAACCCTGAACACAATGCGCCAAATGAGCAAACACTTTAGATAGCTGCAATAGTTATCACTTTGTTTTATATTTCAAACCCCTTATATTATATTCCAGGCCCCCAATATTACACAATACCTTTTTGATTGCTTGCTGATTTTCTTTCCTCGTCTCCTCTGCTCAGTTGCATCAGACTTGCTGTGTATCCACAACCCTCTGTGCCACCATCATTAATAATGGTCTTGTTTCATTACTCATAACTATACTGAGCATTTCTGCTCCCTTGTTGGTTTTAACACATGCTGTTCATTTACCACACTTCCCTTATCAGCGAGTACAGTACATGCATTGCTCTGTTAAATCAACAGTCACGATAAAGTGCTTTCATCCTTTCCTGACCTCTGGCCACAGTGATTCCACTGCTAAACACACTCACTTAAACGCTTCTTTTAACTGGCAAGATGAGGTCTGTTTTTAATATTGTTACTCCTGACCCTCCTTTCCTAGTTTCCCTGCCCTTTTAAAAACCCTACATCCGTGCGCAATTTGTTGCAGCGTTTCGCCCACAAAATACACAGTGACTACACCTTACATATTTTGTGAAATGCTTTGAGACGTCTTGAAGACGTGATAAAAGGTGGTATATCAAACGCAAGGATTATTATTATTATATTATTATGTGTTGCAGCTCCCAATCTTGCACTGCCAGCGATTTTTACCATACTATACTCCTCCATCTGGTTTGCATGCTTTTTGCTCCCCTGTTTTATTTGTATTTTAAGTACTCCAAGATGCTACCCTGCATGAAGGGAGCTATATAAATGCAAGTTGTTGTTGTTGTATTCAACATTGTTGTATTGAAGAAAGATCTTCTTACCATTTGCTTTCAGATGATTTGTATCTTTGTCCCCAAATGCTTGAAACTTATTAACTGCCACTTGCAATCCAATGCCACGAGCTTGGATGTCCAACAGCTTCTGATATACTCTTTGACCCTAATTTATAAAAATGGAAAAAAAAGCTAATAAAAGTTACAATGAAGATTTAAGTGCTGCATCATTTCTACATTCTTTATATGTAGTAATTTCCTTGAATTTAGTTCACAGAGGTTATTTAAAGTACCTTTATGTGTCTCCTACTGTAGCCGTCTAGAAGACGTAAAAAGCGCTATATCAAATGCAAGGATTCTTATAATTATTAACAAGTAAGCAAAATACTATGAAAAACAAAAACTGATGACAGTGATAACAAAGGCGATATTCGCTCACAAGAATCTTATATATTTGACTTCTCAGTATTGTTCCACAGTTCAGACGTAAGTGTGTTAGCAATTGTGTACTACTTTATGGACTATCACCCTATCACACCCATTCTCATTTGGCTCCATATCCTCCAGTGGATTGAGTACAAGATCCTCATTCTCACCTTTAAATCCCCCACCTTCAACCCTATCAACCCATCTGCTCTCTTCATTTAGCGAGTAACAGCCTATTTCATTTCACCCAGCTTATCCTCCCTGTCACCATAGAATCATAGAATCAGAATCGTACAGCACAAAAAANGGCCATTCGGCCCAGTAGGCGGGCTTTTCCCAAGAGTCCCTCCAACTCCCTCCCTCACCTCAATGTCTGTCTCAAGACGTGCTTGTCTGACCCCGCTTTCATCTTCCCCCCCCCTCAACTCAGGCTTATAGGCAAAGGTACCAAGGGCTTTGGGACATCCCCCCAATGTGAAGGGCACTCTATATATGTACATCTATGTTGCGTATTGGGAATTGTACGCAGTTTTGTGGGTTAGGGTTTGTACAGAGCTTAATTATTTTACTCGTCATTAGATGGGAACGTCTTGAAATATGAGCCGAGCATAGTTTGTACCACTTTTAGAAGAGAAAATTGTATTCATGGAGTAGGCTTTAATATTCCTAACCCTGACAAGCTAAAGTCTGCAAAGGGTCCCTGGAGGCCAGAATCTGTCAGTATTGGTGTAGGAGCTTGTTTGTTCCTACCAAACGGGTTAACTTAATATTTTTGAGTTGCAGATTTCTGGAGGCAGCCCATTTTATCGGTGTCATTAACTTCATAGAAAACAATTCAGGTTACATTTTGGGACAATGGTGGAACATTTGCCTGAATCTATTCGGTTTTATTTAGGTCAAGAATCTTTCTGCATTTATTGACTGACTTGCCTGCTCCTCCTCACTGTCTTTCAGTGCCCAATAGGAGGAGACAATATCCACACTCTTTTGTGCTGCATCCAGCAAATCCATCCAGCCCTGGAACAGTGAGGTGTGTTCTGTACTGTTGTCGGTAAAGGTCAGCTCTTCTGGGATGGTTTCTACAAGGTAAATACTGTGGAGAAAATCACAATTAGTTTAGGATCTCAGCACTCAATAACACTGAGAGATACAGAACTGGGCAGGGCGAAACTTGCAATCAAACAATCAAAAATCAGGACATTGAAGATCCCATGGCACTACTCAAAGAGAAGGGAGTTTCTCCCAGTTTTATAGCCAATAATCCACCAAATAAAATTGGTCATTCACTTCATGGCTGCTTAGACATTGCTTTGTGAAAATTGACTGTTTACAGTAAATCTTGTGAATCACTGTGCGATATCTTCATGCTATGATAAAGTGCTATATCAAATTCAATGGTTTGAGATCATGAGAAATTTCTGAGCTCACCAGTGGAAACCTTGGCTTTCTTCTTTTCTGTAGAAAGGGCATTGAATTCCCAAAGAAACCCAGTGCTGCCTGCTTGAGATCAGCTAATTCAACAACAACTTGCATTTATGTAGCTCCCTTCACAATTGGCAGCGTCTCGGAACTCTTGAACAACAACATTTTGCATTTATATAGCAACCCTGACACAGGGTAGCGTCCCAGAACTTGACAGTGGCAGAGCATGAAGCCGAGCTGGAAGGAGGTGACCGTAGGCAAAATTGAATAGGAAGGTCTTCAGGCGTGACCTGGAGATGGGGAAGGAAGATTGTGGGTTGGGAGGTAAGTAGGTTGGAGAGGTAGAGACATGCCATGGTATGAAGGGGTTTCAAAACGAGTGAAGATCTTGAATTCGATCTGTTCGGTGATAGGGATCCAGTGGAGCCTCGCTAGAACTGGTATGATGGGGGTATGGAGTTTAGTACGGGTGAGTATGTGGGCGCAACAGAGTTTTGCATCAGCTGAATTCTGTGCATGGTGAAGCTGGGTAGATGGGCAAAGAGGACATTTGAGAAGTCAAGTTGGGACGCATGGACAAACCCATTAACTCTTAGGTTAGCTCTTAGACCAAGGATGGGGCCATCACCAACTGAGCCATCAGAAGGGCAAGGATATATTTTTTAAAATAACTTTTCTTTCAATCAAATAAGAAAAACCATTTCAGTGAATGCCACATCCTAAGACTCAGTTTCATTGCTATATATAAATTTACAGCATAGAGCATATAATCCTCTAATCCTTTCCTGAGACACGCACCAGCTGGTCTGATAATTCCTTCATAAATAATTTAATGCCAAGTATGGATACAAAATACACAGATTGTTCTTGTCTTGGGGAGGAAAAGGGAGTTATTCAGAACCATGAAATGTGGATTGAAACTCAAGACTCAATTCGCTTGAATCAGAGTGAGGGAATTACCTGGGTCTGTGGGATTTTCAACCAAAATTACAGTGTGGGTGGTCGAGAACAAAATCAAAAAGCTCTGCTTGAATGAAGCTTATTAAAAATATATAGAAGATGGTGCCTGCTCGGTGGTGATTTCTAATAGGCTTTATCGTCCTTTAATGGCATTTCCCATTTGTCAATGACATCAGGTGTAAGATATAAAACAGGACTAATATGTGAGCTGCTTAAAATTATTGGAGATTCTCCTACTTTACAAAGCTTTGTCAGCTGTGAATAGAATGTTTTCCTTTTTGTTCCTTTAAACATCATGGGTAGCTGCTGAAATCAGCCACCGCAAGAACATGAATTTGCTAGGCATTGTATAAATTTCAAATGGTTAACATTCATTTTAGGAAAGTTAGAATCTTTCAAGAAAAACCTTTGTTATATCACTTCAAACTACTTGTAATTGCTGTAAATAGTAGTCTGAGACTGCCTCTGTCTTTCTGATGCTCATCTCAGTTTTGCTGTTATGAGAAAACCCATTGAATGAGTAATACAGCTACTGTCTGAAATGAAATCACTGTTTTTCAACATCTTGCCTGTGGTAGTTTCCACCTCCGTGTGTTCTTCAGTCTGAAGTATAGAAGCATGTAAATTACAGATTTCAATAATATGCTACAATCATAGAAATAATGAAGCCTCAAGTTCTGCCAGCTTTATCCTCGTCCCGTTCCTTACATTCTAATACTCGGTCTCTGTGTTGTAGGCTAAAAGCTGATGAAAAGCATGAAGGTAAGATAGGAGTGGTCAAGTGATGGGAGCATCTACCGAGTCACTTAATTTTCTCAGTAACACTGGAGAAAACTGTTAGAAACCTTCCTTCCAGAGGTTCATTTATTTCCCAGTCTGCCTGTACCAGGCCGTCAATACGGTTCCTATTCACTGGTTTGGGTGAACTTTACAACATCAGTTTTAAATGGGATTAAAAAAGTAAACCCAGAACAATAATTTATGAAGCACCAAGAGAGTAGAACAAGAAGACATAGGTTTAGAGTTGCATAGGACAATTTCAGGACAAACACCAGGAAGTATTGACTTACTTCCTATAATTAACAATTGAAACAGGTAAAAGGAGGATGGTGGACACACTTAAACAACAGCTTGATACTGTAATGAGAGGGTGATAATTAATTATTTAACACACTTCATTATCATTACACTTCCTTTCACCCAAACTAAGCTTGCTGAGGATTCCCCAGGTCCAAAACAATGCAGGGTGGGACTAGATAAAGAGCGTGACTGTGCCTTGAGTTCTGAGGTTTGTTTTGCTGGATGATGGAAATTCTTTGAAAGCCTTATATTAGCAAACGCACATGTATGTGTGTGGCGGGGTGATTATTAAAAAACTTTCATTGTTCAGGTTAAATTTGAGAAACTTCCAGGAAGACTACTGCAACACTGAACAGATTGTAACTATGCCACAAACCCAATTCAGCCAAGACGTAGAATATAATTTTATCCTCACACCTTCATTCTATCATAGTTTTCTTTTTGAAACATTTCTAAAGCAATTCTAGAGAGGGCTACAAAGAGATTATTACTTTAAATTAACCATGATGATTGATGTGATGGTGGCTCACACCCTTAAGTGCTGCATTCCTGGGCTGGGATTCAATCACCAAACTTGCCTGACATTCACTATATTGCTTAGAATTTGTTGGTTGGAAGAAACGTTGCTATCTATCCCTGGGGAAATAAGATGCTGACAGGATCAGGAGCAGAGGGAAGCAAATGAGAGAAAAGAACAACAAAAATGTACATCCATACAGCAACTTTCACGCCTGAACAATACTTCACACTATTGACTGAGGGGCGAGCTGAGAAGGGGAGAGAAAAGATGGTTGAATGCAAAGTATCTTTTAAGACAGATTTAAATTTGTAAATTTAAAATAGTGGAGTCCTGTAGCTCAGTGGTTAGAGCACTCGCTTTGCAAGCGAGAGACCTGAGTTCAATTCCAGGCAGGGCGAAACCTTGGGCAAGTTTCCTTACTCCACACAGAGCCTAATAATAATCCCTCCAAAACAATAATAAATTGGTCATTTTCAATCTACGACTGTTTGTGGGACATTGCTGTGCGCAATTGGCTGCCGCGTTCGCCCACAAATATACAGTCAATTCACTTTACAGTGTGTTCTGTGAAGCGCTTTGGGACGTCCTCCCGACGTGAAAAGCACTATATCAAATGCAAGGATTATTATTATTATTAAATTGTCAGGAGATGAAGGGGACAAGGCAGAAAGACTCCACGGAGGATGGAGTTGCAGAGAGTGGGGCAGATTGGCTGAAGGCCAATGGTGGTGGAGGTGAAGCAAGCCAGTGAAGAGAGTTACTGGGGCAATAGGGTTGCAGCAGGTTGCGAGGCCACAGACACACTTGAAAGGGGAAGCCAGGGGAGCTGAGCGAGGATGGTGGCAAAGGACTCATAGAACCTGGAGAGAGAAGACAAGGGACGCAGAGTTTTGGATGGTCTTCAGCTTGTGTAGGGAGGAGCTGGGGAGTACTGTAAGCAGTGTTAAGAGGAGTCATGCCTGGACACAATGAAGGTGTGGATGAGGGTCTCAGCAGCTTGGGAGAAGAGATAGTGGCAATGTTTTGAAGACGAGGAGAAAACAGAACGAGTGAGATGGTAGAAGAAAGAGGGAACAAGGGGGAGGAAGCAACACAAAGAGGTGGAAGGGAGGAGGGATGGATGCGAGGAGGGCGTGAAAGAAATCAGGAGGGAGGGATGGTAAAAAAGATGGGTTAGAAGGAAAAGTAGATAGTGGATGAAAAGCAGAGCTGCAGAGCAAGAAGAAAGAGGGATGTAACAAGAAATCCTCCGGGATTATTCCCATCCTCTAGAAGTCCAGTTATTGCACCACAGAGACAAATCTAGATCCAAAATAAATTATGAAGGTGGGTGTTGCAGAAAGATATCCCAAGGTAGAGAAGCATATTAACCTGGATAATAGTAGCAAAGTACTAAGTTTGATTTTCCAAACCCAAACAGCTTTAGCTGTTAATTATACTCCATCTCCCCAATTCTCGCCCGACTCCATTGGCTCCCTATCCTTCAGAGGATCCAATTCAAGATCCTGGTCCTCACCTACAAAGCCCCACCCTACCTCTGCGACCTCCTAACCCCCTACCAACCCGCCCGCTCCCTCCGCTCAGCCGGCTCTGTCCTGCTCCACGTCTCTTGACCCACCCACCCCATCATTGGCAGGAGAGCCTTCAGCCACTCTGTTCTCAACTTCTGGAATTTCATCCCCTAATCACTCCGCCTCACCCCCTCCTTAGCCTCCTTCAAGTCCCACCTCTAATCCCTCCTCTTCGACCATGCTATCGGCCACCCCCCTTCCTCTCCCCTCCCTTCTCCGCCCCCTGTCCCCGGCTCGGGTCTGAAATGCTGTACACTGTCCAGCACCTTGGGATGTCCTCCCGACGTGAAAGGTGCTATACAAATGTAATCTTGTTGTTGTTGTTGTATCTTCTGTGACGTCACGCCTGTGCAACCCAGAAATGGACTGTCTGTTTTGCAATTTGTCCAGGTCGTTGAGCGTTCCATGCAAATGTCAACATAAAATCCAGTTTAAAAATCAATTGAGGCCTGAAATTACGAGACACACATGCACAAGGAAATAATTACATTGTGTAAATGTCAGAGACCAGGTTGCTAAAGGGGACACAGAAAGTTCACAGGCAGCTTGGCTCATTGCTTCTCTGCATTGAAGGCAACCCTTGTATTCAATATTGGAAACCCACGCATTCACAAACAGATGGGTTCTTTTACTTCTTACCGGCAATTTTTATTGCACATCATATCTTCTAGATCATTGCTGCCACCTGGAATGTCAACAGCTGAAAATATCAGTGCCACAGAGATGGCAAAGCAGCACACCAGGGCGAAGGCCACAATACACTTCTGCTGTGACTAAACAGAGAAAACAAAAGAAAAGTGTAAATATTGCTTCAGAAACTACAGAATTGTAAGCATAAGAATATGTTGAACCTGTTTCATTATTGTATCAGATGGCAGATATTTTAATCCTATTTCCCTTTTTCTCTGTATTCCGCATCCCAATCGATTCTGCATCTAGAGCAGTGCATGTTACATTCTCCCACCTGTTGTGTGAAGAAACATTTTCTGATTTCTATTTATTTTATCAAACAGGCTTCCTTTCTCATCCAGGCAGAGTAAACACGTTAAAGAGCTTAGAATGAGAAAAAGGCATGTGCACAAACACACACACACACACACACACACAACCTGCACTAGTATGTACTCCACTCCATTTAATCTCTGGTTCTGACTTTTTAAAAATATTTTTTTTCTCCTTCACCAGCAAAAGTAATCAAGCAAATTTCCTGAAGGTCTGTTCCCCCGCTCAACCACACCATCATTGTTCACCCTCGCCTCATTGTTTCCCAAAGATTACATGACTCATATTGTCTTCCATATAATTCTCAGTGGGACTTAGTCAAGCGCACAATGTGTCAGCCTCAGCTCAGAAGGTTGTGGGTTCAAGCCCCATGTTGGGACTTGAAATGCATATAGTCAAAACTGTCACTCAAATGCAGTGCTGGGGGTGTACTGCATTGTTGGAGATGCTGTCCTTCAGATGAGATATCCTTGCAATTGATATAGCGCCTTATCATGTCTTCAAGACATCTCAAAGCGCTGCATAGAATATAATGTAAAGTGAATTGACTGTATGTTTTGTGGGAGTTCCATTGCGCTATTTCAAAAGAAATGGGAGTTTCTCCCAGTGTCCTAGCCAACAAGCTCCCAAATAAAATTGGTCATTCATTTCATGGCTGTTTGTGGGACACTATTGTGTGCAAAATTGGTCGCCACATTTGTACCACAAAACAGAGTCACTACACTTTAATAATCCTTGCATTTGAAATAGCGTCTTATCACATCGTTCAGAATTCTCAAAGCCCTTCACGGAATGTATTATAAAGTGAATTGACTATTTATTTTGTAAGCAAAATGCTAAGCAAATATATGGATTATTATGATGCAGTTTTACATGACTTGTACCAGGGTACTAGGTAGCCTCTTGTTCACTGCTTCATACATATTATAATTGCATTTTTAATACAACATTGATAGAGAATCAGTGAGCAGGATATGATATATTTTATCTCAGTCTTTATTTATGGTTCCACTTTACCCATTTGGATAACTGTATTCATCATGTCAACTTAGCTGAGAATGGTAGGAATGCCAAATCAGGTCTGTCACTTTCACCTCTGAACATCAAGGATGCAAATTAAAAAGATTGGAAAGATAGGAAGATGAATCAAGCTCATTTGCAAGTAATTTCTCCCGCAAATCTTTAATGAAAGAACAAGTGAATGGGAGGCTGATAGAATTTCTGATCATTGAAAAAAACCTTACATTTGATATAACGACTTTCACGTGTTAAAGCGTTTCACAGCATTTACTGTAAAGTGTAATCTTAGTGACCCTCCGCTATCTCTTTGTCTCCGCAAACGGTTTCTCCTCCCACCTTCAAACGGTCACCTGCTGGATACCCCATGCTATATCCGTGGCCCCCTCCTTTTTTTCATCTACATGATCCCTCTCGGCGATACTATCCGCAGACTATATATTTGGATGACACTTTGGTTGATACCTCCTCCAGCCATGATCCCAGGTCCCACTAATGTTCCGCCTGCTTGTTTGTCAGACGTCAAGGCCTGAATGAGCGCCAACTTTCTGCAGCTGAATGTTGACAAAATAGAAGTCATAATCTTTGGCTCCCATTAACATCTTATCACCACCTCTCCAACCTTCTTAACCTCAGACTTACTAAACCTGTGCGCAATCAAGGCGTCAGATTTGATCCCCCAGGAATCCTTCCTACCCCACATCTGGTCCCTGACCAGGACTGCTTTCCTACCCTCTGCCACGACACTCTTCTCAAACCATACCTCACACCTAATGTAACTGAAACCCTTATCTATACATTCATCATCTTCCACCTTGATTTTTCCAATGCCCTCCTCACCTGTTTCCCCAGCTTGATGATTCATAACATCCAATTAATTCAAATCTCCGCCTCACCCATACCAAACTCTGCACCTCCATCATCCCAGTTGCCAGGCTCCAACTGGCTCCCCGTTGTCAGATCAATTTCAAGATCTTCACACTCATCGACAAATCACTTCATGCCCTAGCACCTCCCTACCTCTCCAACCTGCTTACACTCCTCTACCCACTTTGTTCCCTTACTGACCTCCTGCCTCCTGCATATTCCTCATCCCTTCTGCTACCCCGCAAGTGTACATGTATTCAGAAAGTACACCCCAAGCCCTTGGAACAGAGGTGAGAGTTCTACTAACTGAACCAGGCTGACACCATTAAGAAGTTAAAAGCAAATAAATCAAAGGCTAGAATTTTCCCCATCAACATATAATAGAACAAGGGTAACACTTTAAACGCGATTGGAAGTGAAACTGGATAAATAACAACTAGATTTCATGTAATCCTCACAACCATATAATATGCATCTAAATATATGAACTATAAGAATGTGTTCATTAATCTATTATATTTGACTACAGTCTGTATATTAAAATCAAAACTGATTCCAACTCTAATTCTTCCATTTTCGAGAAATGAAGACTGTAGAAATTCTCCCCTCTCCAGTCTTCCCTTCCTGCTTCCTTCTAAAAACCTTTTAAAATCAAACTTGGTGTCACTTACCCACTATTGATTTATTTGCCTACAAATACAGAGTCATCGCATTACACATTACAGTAAATCCCATGTATGTATATCAAATCCAATGATGATGATAATATTATTATTGGGGCATAGTAAGGAAGGCTTTACTTTGGATGTAACTGCTACAGCTGTCCCTGGAATGCCTGAAATAGCAATATTGATAAACATCTCTCATCCGATGAGCACAAAATTATATAGGAAGAGGAGTAGGCCATTCAGCCCTTCGAGCTTGTTCCGCCATTTAATTAGATCATGGCTTATCTGTACCTCAAATAATCCTTTCAATTCCAATTTCCTGCTTTCTCCCCATATCCCTTACCTACCCTGACGTAGCAAAAATCTATCAACCTCATTCTTGAAAGTGTGGATGGATCCAGCATCCACGGCTTTTTGTGGGAGAGAATTCCAGATTTCTACCTCCCTTTGAGTGAAAAAATGCTTCCTGATTTCACTCTTAAATGGCCTGGTTCTAATTTTAAGACTATGCCCCCCCCCCCTTCTTTTGGGTTCCCCCACCAGAGGAATTAGCTTTTCTGTATCTACCCTATCGATTCCCTTTATCATCTTAAATTCACCAAACATAAGGCTATTAATTGAAAATACAGTACAAGTCAGAAAGAAGAACTAATACAACAAGAATTTAGATTTACAAAGCACCTTTCATGTCGGGAGGTCATCTCAAAGCACTTCAGGTTTTCTAGAGGCAGGAGCTGGTGGAAAGGAGTAGAGTAGAGGGGGGACGAAAGTGACTGAAAACGCGGTCGATACAAAATGTCTTAAGAAAGGCTTTAAAGGTGGGGAGAGGGGGATGCAGCAAAGGTAGGGAGGAAGGGAAGGAGTTTCAAAGAGTGGGGACTGAATGGTTTAAAGCTTGTCCACCGATGGTGGGGCAGATTAGGTGAGAGCTTCGAAATAGACTAGCAATGGCCAAGCAGAGGGAGCGGCTAGAATGGTAGAGTTGCAGAAGGCCACAGAGAGTGTGAGAGAGAGAGAAGAGAGAGAGAGAGGTGAGGCCATGGAAGGATTTGAAATCCAGAATGAGGATCGTTAATGGGCAGTCAAAACGTTTCTCCTTCCACCCTTATTCATTTCTCTGTGACATTCTCGGTAACACTCTATCTAGTACTCTGTACACCTGCTGACTGCTTTGTTCCATCCAACCAACTGAAACTATTACTTTCAAACTTCTAATGTATTTTTTTAACCCGTACGCATGTGAAATCATGAACCTAGGTACTGTTTCTGTTCAACACTAACAACAACAACTTGCATTTATATAGCATCCTTCAGGCAGGGCTAGTGTCTCGGAGCGCTGTACATCAAATTTTACTATTAAATCTTTGCTTTGGGGAATTCAGTTTCTATCTTCTAAACTCTCGGCTTGTCACCCACATACACCACATACCTGCACTAGTGTCAGGGGATACTCACTGAGTTATCTTCTTGTCATGTTGTCAGTAATGCATCATATACTACTTGATCATTCAGATCTTGTTGTGCAGACGACAGGCGAATAATAATTTGCTGTTGCTGTACTGGGTTTGAAAGCAGATTTAGATTTGGTTCATCGTTGACTAGCTGAGTTAGTAGGCAATTGTTTTCAGCTCAAAGTCTTCCATCTCAGCTGTACACTAGATCACTGTACACCGTACACAGATCATCCAGAACTTTGCAGCTCTTGTCCTCTCCCACACCTGCTCTGAGAATCTGTCACCTCCACCCTCACCCGGCTCCACATGGTCCAACGGATAGAGTTCAAAATCCTCATCCTCCACGGCCTTGCTCCTTCCTACCTCTGTGACCTGCAAACCCCATATCAATCTGTCCGCTCAGCAGGCTTCAGCCTGCTCCACATTCCCCGCCCGGCCCGCCCCACCATCAGTGGTCGAGCCTTCAGTCTCTCTGCCCCCACCTTTTGGAACTCCATCCCACAGTCCCTTCATCTTGCTCTCTCCCTTGCCTCCTTCAAAACACATCTCAAGACCTTCCTCTTTGAATGCATCTTCAGACACTCTCCTACTCCTACCCTCAACTCCTCCTGATACCAACCCTGAGCTCAGTTGGAAATCCCTGATTGTCCAGCACCTTGGGACATCCTCTCGACATGAAAGGTGCTATAAAAACAGCAAACTATACAAATGTAATTTGTTGTTATTGTGACTGAATAGGTGTGACAGCCAAAATCCCACAAACAGCCATAGGCAAATGGCTGGAGGAATATCCACCTGGACAGTTGATTCCCTTCTCTTTTTAAATAGTGTCCCAGGACCTTTAATGTCCATCTAAACAGTGTTTGAGACCTTGGTTATTATCTCATCCAAAAGATGGCACCTCTGACAATGCAGTGCTGCACTGGAGTGTTATCCTATGAGCTCAAGTCCTGAAGCTGACTTGAATTCAAAACAGGCGTGAGAGTACTATTAAGGCAGACTGATACCTCAGTTGTGAGAGAGGACATAAAAATATACGCACTTTATATCTACAATGCAACAAATATTAAGTAAATTGTACAACTACTGTGAGAAAATTTAATGAAATTGTACTTGATTTATAGGAAGGAAGGATTCATTCAGTATAACTTCAGTGGAAGCTACTTAAAACTATAATCTTCCAAGTTTGATGGTCTTATAATGCATAAAATCTGTGATCTTTTCCCACTACAGTATTCCCTGCCCCCATTTATATCGAGTAGCCTGTAGTTATAAGTATGAGTTGGCTGCAATAAGAACCACATGATTATCACAAGAACTTTAATCCTTCCATTTGATCCAGTGCCTTATGTGGTCAAAACATCTTAAAGCATTTCACAATACTTTACTATAAAGTATAGTCAATTTGTATTTGTAGGTGAACAATAATCTGCCACTGTCCCTCTGCTGAGTGTTCTCAGTATTTGCCTACACATTGAAGTGAATGCCAGAGGCTATCGGATGTCAGTCACGGCTGAGCTGTCCTCAATGATCGAGTGCATTTCATTTATCTATTCATCAGGGCAAGGGAGGACCCTACTTGGGGCACCCAGTGTCAACATCAAGCACTCTTCACAGAGTGAAGCTCCCATTACTCTGCTCTGACAATGAGGTCTAATTTGTGGGATTCCTTAATTTGGAATTAAAATTGCACAAATGGGTCTCCTTGCGGCTGTCAATACAATATACATTTATATAGTGCCTTTCATGTTGGGTGCATGTCCCAAAATGCAATCTGACTCAATGCAAACTACTTCCAAAGCACACTTCCCACATGTTGAGGGGATAAATTCCTCAAAAAAAAAACTGCAGCAACTTGACATTTCCATTTCCCACCTCAGACATCCCATCCCTCTCTCCAAGTGATTCTGCTAATTTGATGCCAGATTAGAGCACTCTAGTACTATGGATCCACTTGGAGACTAGCCAAGATAATTTCACAAAGGACACCTGCAGTCAACAAACAGATGAACCTAACCTTCCACCAGCCTGGGCTGCATCCAAACAGAGCTTCCCAGAGGTGAAAGCAGATTGCACACTCATTTCATCCCATGAGATACTAGCAGGCCAGCGGCCGCCAGAAGAAAAGAGTAATCTAATTTGCGTCACTCAAGCGGCTTGTTTGTGTTCAGTTAGATGACTGTGGCATTCCACTCATCCAAAAGAGCACGCTACAGCTTAGTGATTCCCAAAGCTGCTCATAAACATGGCCTGCAGAGGTTTAGGCAAAAGAGAAAACCTTCCTTCCTTATTTTTGTAAATCAGATATATTACATTCTGTACAGCTCTCCTTCAGCTTCCAGAGTTTCCCATCTGTAATTAGTTACTGTCTGATGGCTAGATTTTCCCTATGTCCTTCCTACAGGAGTCTTTTCTATCAGTGCAACTAGAATTAGGGTCAACTTATATGAGGAATCATGAGCACAAACTTGTGTCCTGCAGTTCTATGACACCATGCCACTCAAAGGGGCAGCTTTACTTCTAAACACTGAAATGACAACTGAACTAATATAAGAAATAAATATATGAACATGAACTAGTAATACTTCAGATTCTGCAAAGCTATGAATAACATTACAACAACAACTTGCATTTATATAGTGCCCCGCACCAGGCTCCACAAGCCTATCACCCCCATCCTCACTTGACTCCTCCGGCTGCCCAACCGCCAGCAGATTGAATTCAACTTCCTTGTCCTGCCATTTAAATCCTTCCATGGCCTTACCCCACCTTACCTTTACACGCCTGGCCGCGCGCTCCGCTCAGCGAACACCTGCCTGCTTCATGCCCCGTGTTCCATCTGCCCACCATCAGTGAGAAAACTTTCAACCTTCTCACCCGCTCTTTGGAACTTCATTCATCCATCTCGGCCCCTCCGCACTGTAAAAGCCCATCTTAAGACCTTTCTTTTCGACCCCACTTTCAGTCACCTCTCCCCTCTCTTTCCTCAGCTCCCCCATCCCCTGCTCAGGCTCCCAGCTGATTCACTAAAGTCATTTGAGACATCCCCCCAATGTGAAAGGCACCAGATAAATGTAAAATTATTCGTTGTTGCCTTTGTTTTTATAAAGGTGGAAACATACACCTAGAATGGACAAGGTGGAGGGATTTAAAAAGAGAGTTTCAGATGCTGAGGGCAATGTCTGAAGGCTTGCCTGTTGATGATGGGGTGGAGTGGGCAGGGGGCAGAGTTGGTGAAGGGGAGAGAGTGGCTGAGAGTGTAGGGTCACAGGAGATCATGAGGTAGGGCGGAGTAGGATCAAGTCGGTGTTTATTGGTAAGGACGAGGATCTTGAGGTTGATCTGCTGGGTGATTGGGAGCCAGTGAAGCCAGACGAGAATGGGGGTGATTATCTTGTGGAGCCTGTTGCAGGACACAATGTGGATTCTGTTGATCTGGACCTTGTTGAGGATGGTGGCCAGTGAACATCAGGGTGTTGGAAATCTGAAAAGGGTGTGGCTGAGGGCTTCACCTGCACTGGTTGAGGCGGATGATGCTGCAGCAATGAAGGAAAACAGACTTGGTTAGAGCCTGGATGAAAGGTTCAAAGGAGAGCTGAGGATCAAACACACCTCCAAGGTTGTGCACAGACTCCACGACTTGGAGTGAGCAACCAGGGAAGACTAAAAAATCAGCACTTGAGGTAAGGAGGTGTTGTCGGGAGTTGACCTGCATAGCCTGAGTTCTATCAAGCCTGAATTCCTGCAAATCAGGACTTGATGTCTGACAGACAGTCTATCAGAACAGCAGGACTCCTGGAGTCAAAGGTGGAGGCAGAAAGGTAGAGTTGATTGCTGTCCATATACGTGTGGAATATAACAATACCTAGTGAAAAGCAGCTGTGTGAGCAATACCATATTATGCTGTTACTTTTACAGTGCCCGAAGCTGCTCTGAAACATCTCCTATCAGCTAAGAAACCAGCCACAGTCAGTGGTCGATCAGAGCTTTAACACATCACAACACAAATAGGAATAAATCACACCAGGTTTCCTTCCTTGAAATTCACATGACATGAATTTCACCATTGTGACATTGTCGGAAATCTATTGACTGGCTTTCACTGGCTTGTAACCCACTACTTATATCTTGTCAGGCACGCAGTCAACACAATATGCATTTGGCACATTACAGAAATCTGAGGCAGGCCAGGGGTTAAACAGAAGACTTGCTGTACCTGGCTCGTCTTCTCCTCATTTAGTTTACATCCATTATCGGTCACACACCCCATGGCTGGCTCTGGGACATTGCTGTGCACAAACTGGCTGCTACATTTCACCCACATTTCACCCACCTACATTACAATTTATCCTGTGAAGTCCTTTGAGATATCACAAAGGCATGATAAGGTGCTCTTTTTTGATCAGCCGGGTGTCTGGCACATGCAAAAACCGATCACCATGCTTAACAATATCCAAAGAAAACTGAGAATTTAATGCATCCCACCTACACATGGAAATTCCAAGATTGATTGTTGGAATGAGGGTGCTATAATAATAATCAAAATCCTAATAATAATAATACTTTTGTTGATATAGCACCTTATCATATCTTCGAGACATTTGAAAGCACTTCACAGAATATACCTGTGAAGCGCTTTGGGATGTCTCGAAGATGTGATAAGGTGCTATATCAAATGCAAGGATTATTATTATTATACAGTAAAGTGAATTGACTGTATATTTTGTGGGTAAACGCAGCAGCCAATTGCGCACAGCAGTGCCCCACAAACAGTCGTGGATTGAGTGTCCAATTCATTATCATTATTTTTTTCGGAAGGATTACTCCCGGAAAAGCGATCTCCAATCGACTAACAACCAGGTTCCCACTTACCGCTAGCTAAACAGAGGAGCGTGGAGTAAGGAAATTTGCCCAACGTTCTGCACCCAGGTCCTCTCGCTTGCGAGGCGAGTGCTCCAACCACTAAGACCTCACGTTGTATCAAATGCAAGGATTACTATTACTATTATTATTATTATTATTATTGTTGTTGCTTTGGCTGCAGCAATCCCACTGACAAATGTGAAGTCTAGTTCTGCAGGTTTACATTTTAAAAGCGACAGTATGGCTCTGCCAGGAGGCAGGTAAGATGTGTTGAGAATTATTATTATAACACCAGCTGCAACTTTTGAAGACAGGAGAGAAATCTCCACTGATCTGACACTTCCCTTCCCTTCCACAGCATGCACTCCCACAGGCAGTGGCAATTGCTGCACAACTCCTAAAAGCTTGGGGAGGATTCCCACTATCCCTGTCTTTTGCACTGATCGGATTCTCAAGTCCCAACTGCAACAGGAAAGAAAAAGTAGATGCGGACAGGGAAGAAGAAGAAGAAGAAAAAAATTGGCTTACGTGCTCGCTTTTGGATTTATTTTTGATATAGACAGACACGGTATAGTCCTTCTTTTTGGCAGGACTGCACAGGTTAGCACCCACTCTGCTGGGGTGCTGAGCAGGCTCCAGGGGTCTGGGTTTGAGCTTCAGGTGGTCCAAGCTCTCCTCTGGCAACCGGTCGTGTTTCACCTCCATGGTGTGCAGCACTGAGGACAGAGACAGAGAGAGGAGAGGAGGAGAGAGAAAGAAAGGAGAGGAGGAGGAGAGATCTGCTATAGCTCTCCCCACTGCAGCTCATCACCAACTGAGAGCTGCTGCTGCTGCAGCGACGCTGATCTAACGCCAAGTGCAAAGCTAATGGGAGGAGCTCCCATCACATCTGGGAGGGAGGGAGGGAGTGAGGAGTGGTGCAGTGAGCTGTGACCAGCCCTTTACCAGCAATTATAATCCTCCTTATAGCCCAAAGTCCACCCCCCCCCCCACCCACCCACAACCAAAGTAGTGCAATATTAATATTAATTGGGGCAACAGCTAATTTAGGTTTGTGCTTTTTAGACTGTCCAAGGAAAGGATACTGAAGGAGGCAGGAAAGAAACGTTTCGTGGGTCCAAATTTCTTTTTAAGAATTAGCCGCCCACCCGAAGCTGTTTTTTTCGAGCAGAGTGCAATACAAAACCCGCCCAACCCTGGCCACGTTGTCTCCTGTGGGGGGGTGGGGGTAGATATTACATTGAAATAATTCAGCCTACATGTGCCAAACTAGAGGGGCGTTGTCTTACCCTGAGGGTGATAATAATAATACTTGTATTTAATATAGGATGTCTCAAAGTGCTTCACAGAATGTACTGTAAAGTGGATTGACTGTCTATGTTGCGAGTGATTGTTAAGGTAGAGCTCCTGGAGCGGATAATGAAGATGCGGGTGGTGTGAGTGAAGCAAAAGATATGTTGCATTGAGCACTGGGCTTTTGTTACATGTTCTGCTTCTTTATTGACTCCAGGCTAAACCTGAACTGTCACTGAGCTACACTATCTGGCAGAAAGCCTCATCCAAACATTACAGCCAAGAACTGTGCATTAAACAGTACTCTCACACAGCGATTAGTTAATAGGATTGTGTGTTAAAGCTCCGGGGAACACTGTATCCAGTCGCAGACACTTGTGGGTATTATAGTGTGGAGTTTATAGCAAGTCAGACAGACAGAAATTTCGCAATATTGAGCAGGAATCTTCAAATTGTTTCCGGAGATTGTTTTTTTTTAGCTACTCATCTCATTTGTTATTTGTGGGATGTTGTTGGTGCAATTTGTCTGCTAGATTACCCTGCACAACAGCATTCACTTTCATTTCTAATCAAATACGTTTTGTAGAGGTGTTCATTTTTACATGAAAATTGCTTTTATAAATGCAAGCTATTATCATAAGCTATTATCGGGGGTGCCATGCTCCAGATGAGATGTCAAACCAAGGTCCCCTCTGCTGTTCAGATGAACATTTGAGATCGCATGGTACTATTCAAAAAGAGACGGGAGTTTCTCCAGGTATCCTGGCCAAGAATCCCCAAATAAAATTAGGCATTCACTTGAACAACAACAACTTGCATTTATAATGGGGTAGCGTCCCGGAATGCTTCAAAAAGCCACTTCATGGCTGTTTGTGGGACATTCCTGTGTGTAAATTGCTTGCTGTGTTCACCTACAAATACAGTCACTATACTTTACAGTAATAATAATACTTGCATTTTATATAGTGCCTTATCACATCATTGAGGTGCCCAAGGCGTTTCACAGGATATAGTGTAACCCACAAATACCGAAGGAGTGATTGGGGGATTGTTGGTCAGGATACTGGGAGAAACTCCCTTAAAGTCCACTTGATCAGGTTGATTGGACCTCAGATTAACGTCTCATCTGAAGGATCAAGTAACAACTTAAATTTATATAGCGTCCTTCATGCAGGATAGTGTCTCAGAGCACTGAACAGTAAATCCTATAAGTGTTTTAATAAGTTACAATATCAACTGCAATGACTACTATTAATTATTATTTATCTCAGGCTCCAACCACAGGATGGCCCATCAATTTGCAGTGCTGACATTTGGAAGCAGATTTTCTTGCTGTTACTTTGCTGTTGCTGTCATGTTCATTCAGAGTGGTAATATTTTGCAATGCAGTGGCCCAGAAAAACACAGATGAGGAATCGATTGAGGGATTCTGAGAAAGAGATGGTTAGATATTTGGGCAATAGAAATATGAAACTACATGAGAAAAAGGCAAGGAGGTGAGATTAGAGGGGGTAGTAGTGCATATTCCATTGAATGATCTGTAGTGGAATGCACTTGTTGGGTCAAATGTCTTTCTCCGTTTCTAAATCCCTTTGTGTTGCTGGTTAAGGGTATTCCTTTGGTTACTTGGGTTATGACTCTTACACAGGGGTTGGGGGTGGAAGGAGTTACTATGCCATTACTCAACATTAAAGAATGCCAACAGCGCTTAGTGAAGTTATCGTGAATACTGCGTGATGCCCTGTCACCACCAATGCATGTGCAGTGCATGCTAAAACCAGTCTGCAACCAGAACAGCATCAGATTAACCCTATTGGAGGCATGGGATTATCAGGCACCTTCACCCAATGCAAGTGACGTCATCGTGTAACAAGTGCTTTGGGATCCTACCCTGCGTGAACGGCGCTATATAAATGCAAGTTATTGTTGTTCCCTGACGTCAGCCTACAAGTGTTAACATGAGGCATGTTCCGGGACACCATCACTCCCCACTTTGCCACAACTTATTTAGGTGCCTTGAGCAGCAAGCAAACCACTAATAGCGCTGGCTGAAACCAGTGTATGACTAGGCTGGGTTTACAGCATTGCCACAGATTTGGTCAGTGTGTCACACTTTGAACTATTGCCAGAAGCTATGCCGAGTAATGACTCAGAGTCACTATTTGTGACAAATGTTTGTATTCACAATGCAGTGTTTTAGATCCCAAATTGTAAGCAACGTGGACTGAAACTCCCCCTGCGTTAGCGAAATTAGGACTTGGGTGGTAAGTAAAAGGAGACCAGGCTTTGGCCAACACTTGGGAGGCTGTCGAAAGGCTATAGTTCAATATGTCAACATTCTTTCCCAATGAGCATGACGAAGAAACTCATCTGTTGTGGGAAGGCAGTGCAATGCTAATGATGGAATCTGGAGGCTGAAATCGCTCTCCAGGGAATGAGATCATCCCATGAGAAGACATTAGAAGTCTGGGAGGGGAGGGGAATGAGGAGTTGTTTTCCCTGCAGTGAATTTACTGACATTGGTAGCAGGCAGTTATCTTGGGATTTTCCTATTCAGACTAAATGGAGAGCGTTGAGAAGTTCAATAGAAGGTTTAAGGTCAGCTTCTTCGCAATGCGGTTCATCAGTGAAAGAATATATTTTTGAGGAAGAAGATTTTAAGCAGTTCTGAAGAATTATCTAATAATTTGATAAGAATAATTCAGCTAAGTACCGCAGGCTTTGTACTGCCCTTTATCTGTTGATATTCTACAGTGGAATTTATTAATTATTGTTTTTCGATCATCCTTAATGGATCAGAGAATCTCGAGGCAGTTCTGTTTAGATATAGTGTTGGCAGTGGCTAGTATTCAAACACAGAACACAAGTTCAGAACATCAATAACAACAGGAAGTGTTTTTTGTACATTTTCCTAATTTTAAACATTTGACTCATACCAACATATGACTCCACAGACAGGCACTGGTAACCATATTCAACTGATCATTCCTAATACGTGAGCCCAGGATGGAAATCACCCTGTACCTGATGCTGTCCTCGGCAGATATCCACTTGCGAGGATTTCTTCAAGGATCGTACAACATTTCTCTACTTGTAACTAAAGGTCCTCAGTTGCCAAGAACGCAACTTAGGCTGCTCCGGTCACTGGGAAAAGTGATCTAAGCCTCACAGCCATTCGAATTACATCAATAGCAGCAGACACTTTGGATAATTATCTTCATTGAAGGTTAGTAATTAAAAAATTATAAAGGAGCCAGTGAACAGACAATATTGATAGTGTTTCAGTACTATTATGGTACATTTCCGTCAAGAGAATTTATATTCAGATCAATACTCATATCATGTTGGAGAGTTGTTGCTATGTGGAATGCCCTGTCAAGAAAGTTCATTGTAGGTCTCAGAGGGAAATAAACAGTTATACGAATGATAGAAGCTTGAAAGCGGATGGAGATAACACAAGGGGATTGAATGAAAAACTTGCTCTGAGAGCTAGCGCAGACTCGATAGGCTGAATAAACTCCTTATGTGCTGTAAATTTCTATCATTTCAAACTTGGATAACATGAAGTTAAATGGTCATTTCAAATTAAAATAAAAAATGATAATGTAATCCTTGCATTCGATATCACGTTGTTGAGATGTCTCTAAGCGCTTCACAGAATATATTGTAAAGTGAATTAACTGCATTTTTTGGGCGAAACGTGGTAGCCAATTGTGCACATCAGTGTCCCACAAACAGTTGTGGATTGAGTGACCAAAATTTTTTTTGGTAGGGGGGAGGATTATTACCCCCAGATAGCAATCTGCCAGTTGACTAACAACTGAGTTCCTACTTAAAGATAAGTAAACATAGGTGTGTGGAGTAAATAATCCTTGTATTTGATGCACTTTTCACATTGGGAGGATTTCTCAAAATGCTCATGGGATTTCACTAAAGTGGAGTGACTGTGCATTTTGTAGGGGAATGTGGCAACCAACTTGCACAGAGTCCAAGTTCAATACTATGTCCCACAAACAGCCATGAAGTGAATGACCAATTGTATCTGGGGGATTATTGGCCAGGAAACCGGCAGAAACTCCCTTCTGTTTTTGAATAGCCCACTATAATGTCCACCTGGACAGGCAGACAGGACCTGGGCTTTGTCATCAAAGAACAACACCTCTAACAATGCAACACCCCCCCAGCACTTCGTTGGAGTGTCAGCCTAAACAATATGACTTCCAAGTTCTGATTGGGGGTGGATTGAAACAGGAGCGAACTATCAACTGAGCCAGCCTGACACCTAAAGCCAATCTAACCAGGAGTAAAGCTCTATTTTACTTTGAAGCAGTGGAAGCGAGAGGAGGTTGTGGAAAGATACATCCACCTGATTGATAAGACTGAGAGGACCTTATTGAATGTTTCATTTGAAA